CAATCAATACAGATGCTGCGCTTTACAGCCACGCACTCAAGTCTTCCGGCACCCCGTCATAGCACAGTGATGGGCTTCAACAAACATATACACCTTTTCCGGAAGCCCTTGGTCTGACCAACCATGCGTCAGTGACAGGATGGGTGATTTCCAACCCCACAGCAATCAATTAAAACACCCAGTAGAGAATTCAGGCAGGTAACTGGAGAAAATGGGGGCGGGTTGGGAGTGGTGAGAGTGGGGGACCCGATCAAAGGAAAAGCCAGTTGAGTGCAGAGCGCAATAATAAGAGCTCCTGTTGTTGAAAACGAAGAGAATTAATTTATTCCAAGGCTTTCGTTGTTATTGTTGTTAGGTTTGTTTAATCTGCGTTGCCTTTGTGAAGTGATGGTTTAAAGCTGACAGCTCTGCAAATGCTGGACCCCCAATTTTCCTCAACCGAGTTGCTGCAGAGTGATGTGTCTTTTAAGAGAACCTGAGAGGAAGCCGAGTGTGTCACTGCTTAGCAAAATCTCAAGAGCACTTCTCTCTTTCAATTTTTAAATGGCACTTGCTGTTATTATGATGCTAGCAGGCGAGATTGATCGGTTCTGATGTAATCTCACATGGCCTGAGTGGGCCAGGGTGGATGAGATCTGCCTGAGATTGATGAGGTCTAATGGAGACTTGTTTGGGCGCTCCTGATACCTTTAAGATCCAATGATACTGGCGCGCCACTGCATCTTAATTCTGCTTAATTTAGCCACATATTACTTATCAACACTTGTTCCTTGTTGAGCTGTGGGTTTCTCTTCCTGTCGCGTACGCATATGTAATGTTTCGACATGTCTGAAGAGCTTTATGAAGATAACATGACACAGCAATGTGTATAATGTGTGATGCAAATCATCCCCAAGGCTCTATTGCTCATGGTTGGAGCTTTGTTGGGAGTTTAATCAATCAGCCACAGCGCCTTAATTAATCGGCATGATGAACAGGAGAAATAATTGGTTTTCTGCCAGATGTGAATCTGCTGCAAACTAATGCCAGCCAATCAGGATCTAATTTATAATCACAAAACTGATCCGGACGACAAAACACTTAAAGGATCAGATACAAATAAACACACAAGACAATGGGAGTAATATGGCTTTGGATTTTGATAGGAGACAGTTACTTAGAGCTCTTTTTCAAATTGTACTGAGTCTATTTTAGATGCCTAATTGGATCTATAAAGTGTCAGAACCATCATCAGTATTACTGATTAAAATCTAGGCTATGTGTTAGAATATGTCATTGTCTTTTTCTCTTGAAAAAACAAACATATTGCTAATTAATTGGCATGCTCAGCATAAGAAGAATTAATTGGGCTCCTCCCCAGATGTTTCTGAATGAATCTGGAGAAAACTAATGAGGTGTCTGGTTTTCCATTGAAGCAGCAGATGTCATTAACTGTAGCCCACACTGACAATACTGATCTGTCCAGCTCCAATCAGACCAGGTAAGCAGTGGCTGAAACAAATGGAAAAGCACTGGAGCCAGTAAATAGCCAGGGTCGAGATTGGAAACCACTGGTTTAGCGCTGTGCCAGTGGAGCCAAATGGAAAAATAGCTTAGACCTCTTATTAATGTCACAGTGGCTAGGCGGTAATTCCCCCAGGCTCTGTGTACCTCGGCTTGTTAATGAGTCACTGCTTATCAGTCAGCCTTGTTAACAGGCAGAGGCCTCCCATCCAAACCGCCTACTGCTATTGTGTGCTAGCCGTACTGTGTATTAGCCAAATGTTCCCTCATCTTGGCACACAGGAAGTCAACAGTAAACAACAGCAGCACACACAGGAAGTGGGCACTGAGCCAGTGAGAAAGAGCTGGTCCAGTGGGGAAGGAGCCCATTTTGTGGCAGGATAAAGTGAACCGCTGGCAAAGGCACACACATGCAGAGCCCGCCCAGCTGTAAATCTTAACACACTAACGAAGGGTCCACACTGCTCCCGTCCTTTAATCCTTATTCATTATTGGCCTCAGCTGGAAGCATTAGGGCTTCATTCAATGGTTCCGACCAGCAGAACTCGTCGAGGTAAATAAACTATTAGACATGTTTCTTGTCACGAACACAAACATTCTCCTGGGGTCTGGGATCAGGCTGCCGTGGAGTTGAGGGCCAGGTGGCTGATGGGAAGCCACAGCGGGCTGCTCTACATGCTGTCTGCTGAGTGCTCCAGCGGACGGACCCTCCACACTCCACAGCAGCCCCGAGGTAACTGGGTCAGCAGTACAGAACCAGGGCACAGCCGGCCAATTGCATGCCTAATCTGTACCCTTCTGAGAGGCACTTTCCATCCGCAGCGCATGGCTGCACATCCAGCTGTGGAAATGGATATGTCAAATGGCGCGCAATTAGTGTCTCCCCAATTCGTTCACTTGCTCTAAGGAAGTCAGGTCACAGATAAATCCAGAAAAAAAACAGAGTTAATGCTGTCCTGTCCCTGACTTTGACATACATCAAATGAAGATGGAGCAGTGGAAGTGGCAGAGTTTGGAATCCGGGGTTGGCCAGGAATTTAAATAGCCATGACATGTAGCCTGTTGCTCGCTGTATGACAATTAACCCGTAACTTTTTTCTCTCTCCTTGTTTTGAATTCACTGCGCACTCTGAGTATAGCAGTGATGGGCAGTCCTGCTCTCCGATGGCTCATCTGCTCTTGCATTGATTTGCTGAGCTAACCGTTTTTCCTCTCTGATACATAACGTTGAATTATTTATGCTAAGTAGACCCTTCTGTTCCAGGGCCTCTTAGCATGGAGATCTCCATTATTACGGCATTATCTGACTGCCTACCCCGCCCTACTCCATCTTCTACTTAACAGCTCTGCTGCTGTGTCACAACAACACCAATCAGACACCAATAAGAGCAGATGTGAGCGATGGTCCAGTGCTCTGCAGCTTGCAAACACTCTGTTTCCAACATTGCTCAGATATCTGGAAACCATAGAACAGAAAACACACACACACTATATATATATAGTGTGTCCCATAAGAGTTCCTTTTATACCAGTGAGAAAGTCTATAAATTCCCATTCTATGTTGATGAAAAGACATGTGCATTCATATTGTGATTAAAGCCTTCCTAAGTAGCAGAAGAATTATAATTTCAAACTTTTTTGATGAAAGTGATTCTAATTAATTTCACTGCAGAAATGTTATTAGTTTGGTTTCAGTGTAACAGTCTTGCCATCTTAATGCTTTACAACACACACACTGAAACTGTTAAGCCAGCACTCCATCCATGCTCCCCTTCTCCTCTCAATTGCACTCTCTGACGTGTTTTCTCATCTCCTAAACACTGTCAGACGTCCCAGGCTTAATTACTCTCTTTGACTGACATGATAATGTAAAACAGCGCTTAGGTGAAACCAAAGCAGGAATTGGTCATGCATGGTCAGGCCTCCAGCTAGGCACACCTTAATCAAATGTGACGTGCTTCTGAGTGCGAGCCAAAATCGTTTTCGGACCCAAATAACGAAGCGCTGCCTGGGTTTCAATGACGAGCTACACGGTCGGGGTCAGCACTCTGACGAGAGATTGATATTTCATCATCAGCACCTCAATCCGGAGATTGTTTGTGCATTTCTCATCTTCAACAGCTTTCGGGGGCCTCCGCAGGCCTACATTTGCATTTGTTTAGCAGTGACCTCATCCCGGCTTCTTGGCACAGCAGGATTGTTTCTCACGTTTTACTGCACTGACCACTGTGAGCTCACATTGACCATCCTCCACCTCCCCACATTTCATACACAAATGTGCAGAAACACTGGTATGCATAATTTAACAGAAAGTAAAAACAGCTGATGTGGACAAACAAAGTGGAAGTGTATTAGATGTGGTGAGTGCACTTGCATATCTATGTGCATACACGTGTACACTGTGCATGTGTTCATGCATGTTCATGCACTCAGAGATGTATTCAGATTTGTGAAATTGTGTGGGCGTGCACAAGTGAACACAAGGGGCCTCTGAGAATATATCGTTAATGCAAATCAGGGAACGTCTATTAGAAGCCTTCTCGCCTGCTATATCGTCTTTCAGTTCTTTGCCAAACACTCAGTGCAATTAAATCCTAACTGTAATGAGAAAATGCCTACAGGATTCTACCTGTGTCAATCAATTTTCTATGGATTGAGCGGCAATCATGATGCTCTATTTCGCCATGGGCACAGTTTGCCCTCTAAAGGTTGTATTACCCGCAGCCAGTCACTTGAGTGTTATGTAATTGGAAAAGCACATTGGACAGCGTATTCCTGTTCACTCGGTGCTCACAGCAGGGATGATATCATTACAAAGTGCTTCTCTCATCAAATCCTCTCTTATCGTCCGCTCTCAGCCACGCCCAGCTCATCACAGGTTGAGCTTCAGCCATGACGAGTGGCATGTGTCTGTACTGTATGCCGGGGCATAGGACAGAGGTGGGGGGTGTGGGGGGTGGGGGGGTGGGGTGTGGGGGGGTGTGGGGGGGGGATGAGTACAGAGGGCCCACAAAGATGATGAATAGCACATGTAACAAAGACGGAGAGATGCTGAGCAGGTGAATGTGAAATGAAGAATGTTAGTGCATGAGCGTGTGGCTGCTTTTGTACTTTTATGTGAGTGTATGCAAGTGACTCAAGGAAGGAACAAAGCAGAGGGAGCCATGGGGCAAGTGAGCTACTCCAGCAAGGACCTGTAGTATGCGTGTAAGTGTGTAGTCCTGCACCCACGTGCAAGTCACACACATTCCTCAAATACAACGGCAGAAATTCCACTGGGGTCCGGGGAGGTGGCAATGTCCCATGGGCTTATTAACGGCTCTCTGATTCCCTTGTCATAATACAGGAAACAACATAAAAAAAAACTCATGTCAACAGATAAGGGGCACCATCAGCGACAGAAAGAGAGGGTCGGGGAGGTCAGGGGCCCAGGGACAGCCAGCGAGATAGAGAGACTAGGAGATAGCAGATAGATAAAGAGGGGGAGAGGCGCTTACCATAGACAATGTTGCTGTGAACCGCAGCTGCAAATAGTACTGTCAATAAGCTGACACTCCATAATGCGGAGGGGGCTGATGGGATGGCCATGGTCGGGCGCACAGATCCACCTGTCTCACTGAATCCTCAGGAGGGCAGAGGAGCTCTGGAGAGTCACCTGCAGGGACAGAAGTGGAGAAATAAAGAAAACAAGCAGGACAGGCCAACTGGCCACTAATTGCGTTCCCTGCCACTGGTTGGATGCCTCTGAATAAACGCTGGGCCAACCCGTTCCTCACGCGTTGCTCCATGGGTATTCATCGATCTGCTTGTGTCACACCATACTGAGAGGCGATTGAGAGAGGCGTGGGTAAGGGGAGGGGTCGGTGATGGAGCCAAACAGCAGAATAGAGGGTGATGGTGGTGTTGTATAGGTGGTAATGAGGGGAGAAGGGGAGAAGAGGAGAAGAGGGGAGGAGGAGGTTGTTCATTACTGGGAATTTATTCATCCACTTTAACAAGCTGTGCGCATGTGGAGTGAAGGAAAACGAATATTTTGGACAGCTCCGACTAACTCACACTAATTAGAAATAACGGAAAGGAACATTCCCCCAGCTGGTGGTGAAAAAGCAGAGAAGAAGAAAGGGGGGAAACAACAGCGGCAAAAAGATGCACCTGTCGCCAGCTGACAACACTCAGTGCGCTTTGCACAGGACTGGAGACGTGCTTAATAGCCGCTCAGGCACTCGTCCTCTCTCTCTCTCTCTCTCTCTCTCTCGTTGTCATACACACTCTTTCTCTCCCTCTCTTTCTCTTTCTCTCACGTGCGTTCCCTAAAATAGCAGTAGCCCGCGCCGAGGTGAGCCCTCGGACCATCTGCGAAACGCTACCTCATTGTAAACGCTGAGAGGAAACCGTGGCTGGTGCGTTGCCTGCGGGACGGGCGGGCGCTTAGGGCGGGGATTGAGAGAGGGTGGGATGGAGGAGTGGGGCTGGGGGGGGGTATGGGGGATGTGGGATTGGGAGGGGTGGGGGTTTTTATTGCTGCTCCAGCCCTTCCTGTTGAGTGATGGTGAGAAATGAAAACAAATAGAAGTGCATCCATGGGAAATAACCAGGACACACCGGGTGTGATTTAACACAAGTTCTGGCGTCCTGCTCTTACGTGGAGAGTAACGAGAGAAATGATGATAATAATAACACTAAAATCAGCTCGTGGTGGCCTGCATCGCTGCGACGGATCACGGGAGCACCAGCGCGATGTTTGTCGGGTGGGAGTCCGTTTTCTAACACCATCTCTCGCACTTGCAGAAATATCTTGTGCTGATGGGATGAGATTGAGGAGACTCTTGTAAGCGGCTGGTGAGGTGGCTCCTGCACAAGGCACGAGTTGTGATGCTTTTTCTTTTCTTTCTTTTTTTTTTTTTTTTTGCAGAGCGATAAAGCCAACATAGCTGGGAGAGAAGAGGAAGGGGAGAGGAGTCGGATACAGCGCGGGCAGCCCGACAACAAAACGCATAGGCTATTCAGAAAACATTATAAAACATGCATGGATTATACAGCTCTCTCCCTGGGCAGGCATAACGGATTACACACACACAGTAGCTACTGAGTGCGCACACAGACACATTCCTGGAGAAGCGAAAGCGTCAGCACTGACAGGTGTCTCCTGTCCGCCCTACAGGCTACAGCCTAACCCTGAACAATAATACAAACTGCGAAGCAATACACGGCAATGACCACACACACACACACACACCGTTATATTCCGCCTCCGGAGTCCGGTTTTGTTGGCGCTGGTCTCCAATAAGGTCCCTGGTAAGGTTCCTCCTTTGATGCGCAGCAGTCGCTTGTCCGGATCCTTCTCACAGTCTGCTTTTATCGACTTTTTTTTTTTTATCTCCTTGTTCCTTCTCCGGACTCTTTGTTTTTCTTGCTTTTTCCTCCGCTCTCTCTCTTTCTCTCTCGCTCACTCTGTGTGTGTGTGTGTGTGTGTGTGTGCGCGCGTCTGTCTCTCTCTCGCTCTCTCTCCACGGCTGCCGTTCACTGCAGCAAAAACAGTCTGTCTGAAAGACGAGAGGGAGGGGACAAGGGAGGGAGGAGGGAGGGAGGGAGGGAGGGGAGGGGATTTTAATACGATTTGGCCCGTACCATCGGGATAACAGGGCCAGAGCAGGGGCCTACTGGCTGAGAGCAACATGAAGGAGATGGAGCAGATAGAGAAGCGTGATCTCACCCCGCCGAAAAATCACCATAATGTTCCTCTAATGCTCCACAGTGAATCTACACTGACCTTATCGGACTTTATGATATTTTATTATCTCCTGTGGAAGCACATTAGGATTTCCAGTGATAGCTCAGCTCACTTTATCTAAAGGTTTGATAGTGAGTAGGTCTATCCTTCTTCAATTCTGTCATATAGGTTTGGGCCTACATATCTCCCGAGATGAAGCAGCAGAGTTCATTTGAAGCTGATTGTCACGGTTCTCAGTAGCCTAATGGTTCTTATCGTTGATATTATGGAACTATTACCCATATCTTGCAGATAGGCCCGCTGCTATTTCATGTAGGCCTGATAATTTGCGACACGGTAATGATATACTGAGTCCTTGGCCTTGTGGAATTGTGGGACTTTTTCTGTCTTTATCTTCCCCATATCCCTACTGCTGTTCACTTGTGCCTTTAACATTGACTTTTTTTTTTTTTTTAATCTCTTAACACCTCAAAATTTGTATAATAGGGCTGCCATAACGTCTATCACGATGTTTAACCCCATTGGAATGGTTTTGCATATGCTTCCAGTAAACTTTATCATATAGAGGTCTATATAGTTTTGACGTTTCAGGCAAAAGGCCCGTGTGGGAATCAGGATCCAAGGGAGGTGGGGGAGGAGGGGGAGGGGGAGGGGGGGAGGGGGGCTGTTCAACTTGCCAGAGAGGATTAAGGATTAGTTTTACTGGCGGATTAGGTCTGTGTGTGGGGAGGCATGATGGGGTTAAACATGGATGGCGGCAGCCGCACGACAGCCCAATCAGTGGTGACGGCAACAAAGTGACACCAGGGAGGTGGGTTTGAAGAAAATACAAAATAATAAAAGCCATGGGGAGCCGGGAGGGGTCAGAGAGTCGGGGCGTTGGAGACATCTTCAAGCAAGCAGCTGCTTTCCACACTGTAAACATAAAGGGTGCAGCTCAGGGCTGCCATGATTGGGCTAAACTACAGTCCACCATTAGGGGTTCTTGAATGGATTCCAGAAAGGTCCCCACTCTGACTTCACTAAATTAAAAATACATAATGGCTTTTGCAATCCACCAAAATCCACCTTGTAGTTATAGTCTATCATTCAATGCAAAATCTGAATACAACAATGTTGAAACGACACCATTTTCTGGCACTATGAGTAATTTATCTTCAAAGTAAACCGGAATCTTTATCTCTCCCTCTGTCTCCAAACCACATGGGAGAGTAGAAATGCAGCATCTGGCATCATTGAACACTTGTTATGTGGCCGGAAAAGGCTTTAAATGTTTTGTTGTTGGCGCTACACTACAGAAGCTTTTGCTCCGGCTTAAATGAGTGGACAGCCCCAGGTGCTGAAACCGTGCGCGAGCGAGCGCGCGTGCCCACTGACTTTCACGAGACGATGCTACGCGGCACTGTGTTGTCCAGCGGTGGCTATGTGATGGCCGCATGCAAGACCGGAGCCTAAGCATGCAGTCTGGACAGCAATAGGCTTGTAACGAAGCTCGTGCTGTGCGACCGGAGTTCTGGTTTCAGGCTTTTTGCCCGTTTGAAATCTGCATATTAAAGCGCTGACCTTTGCGCGCTGAAAAGGCTCACTGTGAAATTCCTATAACAATTCAGTCCAGATGAACTTTGTATTGGGCCTCTGCAAAAATTAACACATCTCTGGTAGTCAGTAGCTCATGACCGTCCATCTATCTATCTATCTATCTATCTATTTATTTATCACCCATCCGTCAGTTTTGTACAGAGCAGCCTTGTAAGATGCATCCTAGTTGCAAAAGCACTAAACAACGTCTCAGCTTTTCCCCCCCATCACTGTGTTTCCTCTCAAGCAAAAACCACAACACCTTCAACCACATCTCTGCCGGGACTCGAACCCGGAGCCTCTGGATTAGAAGTCCAGCGCGCTATTCCATTGCGCCACAGAGACTGTGACACATTTTTTTCGATCAAAAGCGGGTTTATACTCCCCCTCCCTGCTCTGTGCAGCATCCTCACCATCTCTCAGCATCAGGACCGCAGCCCCGTGGATAATAATTTGCCGCCCGGTAGGGGGTGCTGCCGCCGCATAATCATTAGTCCCTTTATGCCTCATAGAGAAGGGGAGAGCCCCCGCTCTCCATCCCCCACTGCTTTCACACGGGTTATCTCGTCAAAACATCATAATGGTGATATTATCAGAGCAAAACCAAAAGATCTGCATCAATAACTATGAGGCAAAGTGTTCACTCCTTGCAGGGAACAGCTCCAGTGAACAGCCCATGTTTTTATTATCTCCATTTGTTTTTCTCTAAGAATGGGAGATATATCTACAGGGTTCATGTGTGAACAGATTATAAGCAAATCCAGTCTTATATCCTGCAGCGTTCGGGCAAAAATTCTGCCCACAAAAGAAAATTGCAGTCCGAAGGATCTCCAGCTCAGGCGTAACATGTCTTTATGCCAAATTCACTGCAGTCAGCCGTCAGGTACAGAGAGCAATTTTACAAGTGTTGTTTTTACAGTGACAATTAATTTGAGCTGGTAACTGTTAAATATAGAGATGTCCAGTAATGGAGCTGATGTGGCTCTGAGGACAATATAACTCTATCAAAAGCATTAAATTAACTCTGAGATTTATAAACACTGACACTGTGTAAGCAATATATTTGATCACGTGTGGCTGACAAATAAATTTTATCAACAGCGAAATGAAAAGAAATGTAAGTTGACAAGTTGAATTTTCCCTCCACGCCACCCGTAACAAATTGAGAAGCCAATTTTGTTGGCGCTAACCAGACTAAGTGGTCACGTTGAATCGTTGATCTGAATGTTTTCAAACCAAGTGGTACAAAACCGTATGGGTGCAGCCTCCTCCCCACAACGTTTACTGTTGTTTTTTCCCCCCTGTGAGCACTTTTTACTGTATACCCTACATAAATGGAGTTGGATCTGACATTACATCACGGCTTGCTTTTATTCACACTGCAGGACAAAAGCTGTTCAGGTGCACTGTGTAGCTAGTGTGGCTCAGTGGGAGGTAAGGCCTGAGGCAGGCTGCTGGTGAGGAGCCTGTTCTCACACTCGTACGCACACAGCTTCCACTCCACATTTCAGCCGCTCTCTTTCCTGATTTTAAAAATGCATCTGAGCAGCTGCAGCCTGTATGAGGTAAAATATGAATGACAGCCTACAGTAAACAGCCACTCTACAGACACAAACACACATTCCTGTACACAGAGACAACACTGGCACACTGGTTGGGCTGGCAGTGACTGAGCAGTACTTAGGGCAAAGATAAGTGATTAATGAATTTGACGTCACAGCGCTATTAGACAAATTACATAAGGATATAACATGTAGGACACATCTAATTTTGCCCGCTGGTTGTTGTTCACACTGAGAACAAGTGTGAAATAAACTGGGTCACGTTTACATGCACTTTGCACTCTTGCTGCATTTGATGACCCCAAAGCTTTCCAGAGTATAATTAATTCCAAGGGACAAAACATCACAACACCTTTTCTGCGTACAGCATAATATAATCCTTTATTTAATACTTTGATGAAATGGGGCCTGTTGTAGGCCAAGACAGAACGTACACACAAAAACCAAACAGTGAATCCAGTCCACATCCCTTTTGACTCCCTCCTCTCATTTCAAAAGCAGGGCTATGGAGGTGATGATGGACAGACCAATAACTGTGTAGCCGGTGCGGTAGAGTTCTGGGATTCGGAAGCCCTTGCCAAGGTCCCAACTCTGATTTAAATAATAGGAAACAAATAAGAGAAAACAGAGAAAAATATTTGGCATAAGAAACACCATCAGCTTATAAATCTTGCCAGATATAATAACATGTTCCATGAAACTGGTGAAATTAGCAATCAAGACAAAATAAAAATATGTAACAAACTGCATAGAGATCTGTCTCTATGCAGTTTTAGTGTCTGGACTCCTCAGCTTAAGCTGGTAATGGCAACAACCCAAAGAATCTCATGCATACTCTAACATGAGGGGAAAAAGACAAACATTTGCTACGCCTATGAATCAAATTAGTAAGTCTTACCAAGTGACGGATGCCGTTAAAGGTGTGGTAAGATAACGGAAAGGCGATGCCGAACTTGGCCAATCCAATGAGAAAGGGGCCGATGGACAGCGAGTGGATCAAGTCCAGGTAGTAGGGGTAACTTTCCGGTAATACCAACGCAGCCACGGCAAAGGCTGAGACAGCTAGACACAGACAGAAGTAATGAGACCAGAGACTGGATAATGCGTGTATGTGAATGGGCGTTAGCTGTGCAAGCATGAGAGAAAGCAACAAGTCAGAAATCACGGATCAACATGCTACTATCATTTGTGGTTGCTGGGTTAGTCTACAAAAGTTACTGTACCATTAGAACCCAATGGACAGTCATTTTTTATGTGCAATGAAAAATGGGCCAGTATCAACAGGCTCCTCAGTGGCTGCCTTCTCTTTCTGTGCCGTTTGGATGAAGGCCTAATAACAGGTCTAATGGTAGAAGAAACTCTCCTTAACATCAGATTAACTAAAGCTATCTAAACATTACAATGAAAATGTTATATTAATCAATATGGCTTTTAAAAATTACTCTCAGCAGGTGATATTTTTAGTTTAAGGTCCCTTAGCAAGGTAGCCAGAAAGTTGATTTGAGACACAGTGACTCAGCACATGCAATGTTTTGTTAGGAAAATGAGACATTGTGAAAGACTGTTTTTAAACTGGCAGTTGAGGGTGCTGACCTTTATTGAACTAATTACCATATAAAGAAAATTGGACCCAGCTTATACAGCATCGTACATCAAGGTCAACAGTACTGATATCCGATGTCACAGTAACACAGGCTCAACCTCTACACCAGGTAAATGACTAAATGTTGTTAGCGGTCCAGTAGTAGACTTGGTTTTCACATGCAAAGGGCGGAATTGTATTGAACAACTTTTGTTTTGTAATGCCAGTAAATGCTCTTAGCAGAAATCAATAGTGATGAACTGAAATGCCCTGAAGAGATTTTCAGGGTCAATCAAAAGCTGACAGTGGCACTTGCAGCTTCACTTAGATACGAGAATAACAACAGAAAAGACTTTTGTTTCTATGTGGGATAATTTAGGTATTTTAAAGGATGAGACTAACTAGTTGAAAAAATATTCACTAGCGTATCTATAACTTTAATCATGGATAATAAAGAAAAGAGATGTGTACCTCCACTGAGCCCCACTCCAGTTCCTCTGAATGTGATGGACATCGCCATGGGAACAGACCACCTGAAACACAAAAAATTATGAAACACATTTACAACAATAGCAGATATATGTATAATTCAATGCAACGAGCCTTCACTGACTGACTGAGTCACTGTTTTGTTTCTGGTTGGGCTCAGGTTGTCATCAGCAAGTAGCAGATGACAGTGGCATAGTACAGACACAAACAAAAGGGACTTTTGTCAGCTACAGGCAGCAATGCTAACTCAAAGTGGTTGAGACTTACAAGGTAAAGCTGCAAGCCATGGTAGATTTTTATTTGATTTTATTTCAAATGACACTTTCACCTACAGTTTCCAATGTTTGCATGTACAGCTGTAAGCTTATGTTCTTACAAAGCTAACTTTAAACAAGTGAAAGAGTGTTAAATCACTAGATCACCGGTGTCAGAAACAATCCGTGGTTAGGAGTCCAACTATCAGAGACAAAACGGCATAGACACAGACTAACAATAACAATTATCCCAGATAATAGAGAAGGGTTTTTTTAATGAACCAGAAAGGAGAGGTAGTGAGAAATTCCAAGGCACATACTCAATAAAACAGTTATCTTTACTGCAGGTTGTAGGATTCTCATAACTGCCTAGCAGTACATCATTGCACTAAATGTATCCAAAAGCATAAAAATCTCTGGTAATGGTGGCTTGTCCTGCTGTTTTACAAACATAAAATGAATGAAAAGGCTGTATGATCTGAAAATTGACTTTAACAGTGACATTTTCAACTTGGATAATCTGCTGCAGGGGATTTTAAGTGCACTGGAAAATATTAAACTGAAATTACAAAACATAAATGGAGAACAACTGAGTCATCTCCACCCTTTAAGAAAAAAACAGGCGATACTCTGTACTGCACGTGACATAATGCACATACTTGTAGATGGTGATATGAGGAGACATTGGTCTGTTTAGTCTGGCATTTTTGGACCAAAACTTGTTCATCTCGTCCTTAGCTGTGGTTCCCATGGGAGCAGCACTGTAGATGAGAGGAAAAATAATTTTCAGTACAGAAGTTTAAAGTACTTAGGTTTTAACTCTGCATCAATGCTATGATTTGTTGCAGCCCTCTTTCTCTCTCTTACAAGTACACACACACACACACAACTCACTGTCTGTAGAGGACACTGTAGTGTGGTCTGGCGACACAGACACCCTGGCGGGCAAACGTCCTAAATATAAGAAAGAAGTGTTAGAATTAAGTCCGTACTTACTATCTGGGATGTTGTGTCTAGAGTCAAATAAAGGAGAAAAAAAAGCAAATATACAGTCTCCAGTACATATCCACTTACATATGGAACTTTTTTTAATAAAAGGGCTGTTCTTTCATCTATTAATGAACACATTTTTAATACTGTGAATAATGGTATAAATTATGCTGTGTACACCAACATTACAAAGAAAATGAGATCATATTTCTGACAGCATGATTTCAATAACACCTATTCTACATACTATTCTTATGCTACTCAAAACAGATGTACAGGTCAACACTGGGGGAAAGCCTTCAGCTTTACGATACCAAGCAGTTACAACTCAAAAAGTGACTACAAAAAACTCCAGTATAGAGCAATACAGTCTGATAGAGAATATGTTTAAATAAATCTCCACCCTGAGAAAGAAGGAATAAACCAACTTGTCCGGGCAGTGACAAACATTGTTTTGATTAGCCGAGTGTTGCTGTGCTCTCCTGCAACAGCCTCCTAATGTCAATGAAAGGCAAAGTTCACACACTTGACTTTCTACTTGGTTAATACTCTGCTGGTAAAGGCATGAAAGACAGTGTAGCAATTAACTAACTTCCAGTTTGCTCCAAGCTAAACCTGAGCAAACACTCCGATTTAGGAAGCATATCGTTATCGTATCAACAGCTAATTACGTTTGTGCCTTCCAACGCCAATATGAAGGCAGCAAAATAACAACTTCAGCCATTAATTATACTCAGACAGCCAAAGTCCACTCTCTGCTAGCTTTCAAAAACACCAAGAGTTAGCCCGCTAGCTAGCGCTGTGTCGCGCCATATTGACGCTATATAAGGATAATGAACCAAGATAAAAAGTCACACTCGGGCAGAGTCATCGGCTGTTACGTTAATATGCTGTAAATATGACTGTTTGACATAAACACCCCGATAAACGACACAAAGAGCTTTCCCCGAGCCCAAAACTGATGTAGCACAGATGTACTGACCTTAGGAGCAGCGCCATGTTTGACAGTCAGTGAACGGAAGTGACGTCGACGGATGTTGTTATCTAAAACTTTGAAGGGTTGTTCTGAGAAGGTTAGTCTCGGTCACAGAGGTGAAGACGTTGGTATACGCAACAATATGTAGTATTTTATCTTAAAATAACAGCTTTAAAATCATTTTGATGGTACACTGACTTGTCATAGGGTGTCAATGTCATTGCCACTTCGGCTCAGTGCCCCTACTGCACTATTTGTATTGGAATCACTTTTCTGTAATGCTTTACAGCATCAACACGATTCTTCAGCAAGCAAGCTATAAGAAGAAGCAAAAAGTATGTTTTTATTTATTTAACCTTTATTTAACCAGATGATATCATTGAGATTTAAAACCCCTTTTCCAAGAGAGACCTGGCCAAAATAGCAGCATATTGACAAAGCACAGTGACAAATATGAACACGAGCACACACACAACAACAAAGAACAATTAACAAGACCCTTACAATACATAAACAAACGACATTTTATACAAAGTGCAATTTATACATACCTTAAGTTTAAAGGATTTAGTTATTTTAAAAGCAGTGACAACAATTTATACCGTCTACTTCCAAGTCTTTCATGCAGTGTTTAAATTCACCAAATCAAGATCAGATTTCACAACTGCAAATCAGTCTGCAATGTGTTCCAGGTGGATGGGGCAGCATAACTAAAGGCCTTCTTACCGAGCTCTGTACAGACCGTAGGTACAGATTACAAATACAAGTTACCAGAATGCAAATTATAGGAACTGATGTTGCGTGATATGTAAGTGCAAAGATAAGAGGGGAACATATACAACATAGACTTGTAAATAAAAGTGAGCCAATGTATGTGCCTCCTCACTGGTAATGAGGGCCAGTTTGTCATTTTGTACAAGGTACAATGATGTGTTGATACTTTACATGTACATTGGTAAGTACAATGTAAGTTCTTTAGAAGAAGCTAGCTCGGTATCGTCAGTATGGATATTATTCGAGAGGCTACGAAGAGACCAAAGAAGACGTCAGAGGAACCGAGGAAGAGTAAATGACAGAGTGACCGAGCAAGAGACTGGACAAGAGTAAATATCGGACAGGCTTTGACTCATTGGTGTGAGCTAAAAGAGCTGAAAGGATGCAAGACAGATGCCGAGCTGGCCTTCTGGCTGTTGGACTGGTCAATAATAACTTATTAGCTGCTTGCTGTGTCGTGTGTTGTTGCGCTTGCTTATGATTGCCTGTGTTAGCAAACCCGGGTGAGCAAGCAACAGGTCTCAGTAGATTTTTTGGACATAATGTTGGCTAATGGCAGAGGCGAAGAGACCAAAGAGGACGCTAAGAGAAAACAATGACTAAGCAAGAGGCTGCCTGATGTAGGAAAGAGCTTCAAAAATAAAAGGCTGTAAGACAGATGCTGAGCTGGCCTTCTTAAAGGGGCATTATGTAGTTTCCAGCGGCCACTAGCGGTGCGGTTCTAAGATTGCAACCAGGCATGTTCTCGTACTCGTGCTCGCTTGAAGTCATGAGCGAGCATAATCCAAAACACTACCACTGTCATACTGTTATTTCAACGTTTCCGTCTCAGAGGCGGATCAACAACGGCTCCGTAACGTTACTTCATTCAGCTCAGCAAGCCGCACAGCGGCACAATCCTCGCGAAAAAAGGGAGAGTGACAGCTATAGACAGGCAGGGAGAACAGACAGAGCTGGAAACTCAGGTAAATTCCCACTGCAAAGTTACAGTAATAGTTTTATCAGCTGCAGGTTGAACTAATCCATGCTCGTTACATGATCATGGTACATTTACTGCATTTAGCCGACGTGCTACAGCGTTAGCTCGTCTGCTGCTTTCAGTAACTATCTTTACTATCTGTGTATCTTTCACCGGAGGCTCAGCAATGTCAGCACAGCTACATGTACTGGATGATAATGAAACAAGTAGTGAGCTGGACTGAATATTATAACTGAGACTGTGTCACACTTTATAACAGTTAGGCCGCAGTCAGTAACTTTACTCTAACTAGTGTTAGTGCATGGCCCTTCCTTCCTCTGGGTTGTTGTGACTGTTTTGTTGCAGTGTTTTATGTTATGTGGGTCACGTTAGTTACAGCGACTGAGAGGTGGAGAAGCTGTGTACCTGAGTATTGGTAAAACCACAATAAACCTAAACTGAACGTTACGAAGCAAACAGCGGCAGGTCCGAGCTAATGTAGCGTTAGTTGGCTGCTCCTGGCTGCATCACTATAGGCTACCTTTAGTAAATAAATCGCTCCACATTTGCTTTTTACCGTTACATCCTCTATGCAGGCTAAATCAACAGTGATACAAAGGATAGTAACATGGGTCGTGTTAGTTGGTGAAGTAATGTGGAAAGCTAACGTTATATAACTTTGCACCGGATAACATTTCAACTGCTCTGCGTTAGCCGGCGAGCTAACATGACTTTCTCTGTGTTTCTCCAGCTTTACTAATGCTCACTTTGTTCTTACTCGACATCATCTGAACCTGTTTGGTCTGATAGGCTTCAGCACATAAACCTTTATTGTTGTTTTGGATCCTTACGTGGAGCCTGTGTTTTGCTGTGAGCCGGTTGTTTTATGGTGTTAGTGGACTGCATGTCGTTAGCTTCCATGTTGTCGCTGTAGTCTGAGATGCTCGGGACCCGGAGACCTCACATTAAAAGCAGAATAGTGGCTGATGCAAGCAACGGAGAAAGCAGGCATGTGCTTCATTTCTCAGTGTGTTTTGAGCCCACTGACAATTTTGATTTATTAAAATCAAAAACTTACATATAGCGCATTTAAGGCTCGTGTAGACTGCACGACTTTCAGTGTCTGCCGATGGCCGTGCCGTTCACACTACACAACTTACCAAATCGTTGTGGCGTTCACACTGTGACTGATCAGTGGCAGGGGGTCACACAGTACATGAGCTGACAGCGGCTGTGTCACCTGACGCTGGTCTCCAAACCACGTTTCGTCAAGAAAACGTGAAATGTGAAACGGAAATTAGGTGAATCTGCACACAAAACAGCTGTTGTTTGTTATTATTAAGATACCAATTATAAAGACAAAAAATATGGCTGAAAGAATGGATTAGCACAGGCAGGTAGCAGGGATTGTCTGAGCTACAGAGAGAGCTGGAGGTGAGCAAAAAGTGTTTAGAAGGGGGAAAAAATAGCTGCCTGCTCTCATTGGCTGAAAGTGGATGTCGAGTCGGCCGACTCCTCCAGATATATGGCATGCTAGATATCTGGCTGGTGCCTGCGATGTATCAGTGATGTGTCGGGGAGCCGTTTTGATGCGTTGTTGTGTAGTTCACACATAACAACTGGTGACCACCGATTTACCCCAGATCACAGCCTGGCGGTCGCTGAGCAGCAAATCGGGCTAAAAATCGTTTATTGGAAACTAGGCTTTACTGTTCGACTATATAAAATAAGTAATATTTTGCTATGTCATGTGTTGTCGCATTTGCTTGATGTTTGGTTGTGTTGGCAAAGTTGTGGACTTGCTAGTTTTTGAAATACTATAATGATAACAAATGTCTAGGTTTTCTGCATGCTTTTTTTCCTCATTCAACTAAACAAAAAATGCAGATATGTTTCAATGAAATGTCATTTAAGTAAAATGGAAAAGTACAACTAGTAGTGCTATTTTTCATTTTTTGCATCAAGAGCTGAAATGATTACCCAAGTTGATTAATTATTAGTTGATAAGCAAAAATGTATTGGCAACTATTTTGATAATCAATTAATCAATGTTTTTAAAGCAAAAATGCCAAACATTCTCTGGTTGTGATTTTTGTTGTATTCTATAGGAAAGACCAAATAATAATAATTTTAAAAAAGCACATGTATCAATAATGAAAATAATTTGTAGTTCAAGCCCTAGTTGCATTTGTTTATATGGTGTACTTACACAAAGTAACCTCATAAATAGATAATAAGAAATTGTAAAATGAAATGGTGCAATACCCCAAAGAAAATAATTACAAGAAAATCTTCAGATGATGAAAAATAAAAATTTTACTTCAACCCAACCCAAAGATGGAGCCCCAGTTTTAGTATTCAGTACACCCCATGCAACAAAAGAATGGTCAATGTGACATTGAGATAGGAAAACATAGAAAAACATGCAGCAGCTCCCAAATCCACTGTCAGGAAAAATAAATGCATATGTGCATGCAAGTGTTTTTGAAAGGAGCCACACACACTATCAAACATCTACATACACAATCATACAGACAGCAAACAGGCAGTAAGGTTAATAATGCCCAGAAGCAGCCCCAGACTGGGTTCCCAATAGCCTATTCCCATTTTAATGTTGCATAAAGTATAAGAGAAGACCATGTAGGACTCAGAGTAGACTATGTTTATGTTGGTTATGTGACAATTAAAACCCCTTCTAACTAATTTTTTTGAGTAGTTTTGACATTGCATTTAACTTTATACTTAAAGATTTCTGCACAACAAGCTGGATCCAGAGATAAGCAACGTGGGGGAAAAAATGCTTGGCCGTCTGTCAATCTTTTCTTGACTATTTTGACAGTATGGTAACAAGCGTCCAGTGAATAGAAGACATGAGGACATACATTATGGATGATTAGATCAGGAAAATATCTGCCTGACTGACTCCTGGTTTTTGAGGCCAATATCAGTATTCATATTTTAGAGTTTTAAGAAAATCTGATAACAATGTATACCGGATTATATCTATTTTTTAACATAAGCGCACAACTTTTAATGATCATATCTTTGGAAATGTTGTGCTCCAATTTCTTGTTACTGTAGTGTACTAGCTGCCCTATACGCTGATATCTGTCATAAGCTGATAAATCTTAGAGTGGCCTGTATAACATTAGCTGAAACACTTGCATACAAAGCCAGATCTGATTTGAATTTGGAGCCAGTAAGGTTATGATGATTGAAAATCCCTGAAAATGTTAAATATAATAAGGGTAATTAGTAGGAAATAACATGTGGTTTGGAAAACATTACAATTATTGGTACATGTGGTGCCACACACACATTAAAATTGACACGTTTTAGGTTTAACCATCAATTAACTCAAGGATTATTGTGCAATAATAGCAATAATGATTGATACTGACCACAAAATAAATTAACAACAATAAAACAACAGCCAGGAATATTTTGGAATATGTTTTATTTGGTACATTTCACATGATGAGCGACATTTGGCATTCCTCTATAGCCAAACAGGCCATGATACATCACTTTGGTAACAGTTTATGTAAGGCACATAAGTACACATTACCATTGTTCTGCTGGAAATGTTTTCTGAGAAAACAAAAAGGAAAAACTCAAAGCACAATCAAAAGCCTATTTTCAGCTGTATTTTTATGATAATCAGAGTTGTGAACTGATCCATGCAATATTACAACTGTGACAGACACACAGTTCAACCCTCACAAGCACACGCAAACAAACACACACACACACACACACACACACACAGACACAGTCTCACAGACACACAATTCAAACAGACATTTTCTGAATGTTAATAATATGTCTCCTGCTCCACCCAACCTGGAAGAGAGGAAGACAGAAAGAGGGAAAGTATCAGAGACCAAAATGACAGGCGAGCAGTTTTCATAATATCCTTTTGTATCACTCTATTTGTATTCTTCTCGTTGTCTTTGTCTCTGTACATTTCCAAATGAATCCCCTTATAACTCTAAGACTTTGATCAGCAGCCCATGACACACAGATTAACAGAAATGATTAACTGTCACGATAAATTGTATTTGTCTCCCCACGTCTTGCCCCTCATAAGCTGAATCGCTGTGGCAGTGAACAGATTTTGAGCTATTGTAGTGTGTCCATATCATGTGTATGATCTTTGGGGCATATCTCAAGAGTCTTCACCAGCCTGCTTTAATTTCCTTTCTCATCATTCGTTTATGTTCGTGTTGGACAGGTATGATCAATTTCCTCCATAAAGATTGCTACCGACATACATGTTAACCAATTTACACACTGCTAAAGAATCACTAGACGGTTTGGCAATCATCTGCGATCATATTTCTTCACTGCTTCCATAAACAAAATTAGAGGTGGCTTACATTTCCACCCCTGTCTGCTTTGTAGCAAGATATATTAAAATGTTTGGTTGAAATCTAGTGCAGATGCAGCCCTTGGCCCAAGAATCAGATCAGATTAGATTTCAGTGGTGATGTGGATGTGATTTTATGCTACATTTATCAAATGGAATTCCCAAGAAAATGTCAGATAGCAGTGGATTCACATGCTTTTTTGTCAGAAATCAAACAGTAGAAGACAAACAGTAATCAGTCAAGTGTTATGGAGGCTTTGAAAGCCGGAGAATTGTTCAGCAATGAGTGGCTTGCCGGATGCCTTTTCAGCTGCATTGCTACAGATTAGGCCTAAAGTCTCTTTTGTGATTAAAGTCACAGTTCTTGCTTTATAATACACCACAAAGTGACAAAAAACATGTTACAATCTGCCAGAAAATCATGTGATTTATCCCCAAAAGAAAAATGAAAGAGATTTCAATATGACAGCTGACCAGTGTTGAAAATGGCAGTTTTTGAAATGACACTTAAATGTATACTTACATTCTTTGGCTTCATCATCCATAATTGCTACCAACATTGTTTTGTAAAATTGCTACCTCTACTTTCCTTTTTCATCTCAGGTCAAAATTGTTTTTATATAATTGTGTTGTGCTTGCTTGGACTGACATTGAACTTGAGCTTCTCCCGCATGTCACCATTTGTCAAATGCTCGCAGGGATCCTTCAGGTCAGATCAGCAGAGCAGAGCTGTGGCGACTTTGTCAATCAGTGTGTTCTTAAAGGAGCGGACAGTCTACTCTTTTGGGATGTTTGTGTTTTGTTTTGTTTTGTTTTTTGGTGAGGACAGTAGGAAGACTGAGAGAAGTATATAGGACAGGAGAAAAGGTCTTGATGAAAAATGGCACATGTGGTTCCTGAGATAGGGGTGTCAATCACTATACCATCACTTGGCATTTTTTGCCTTTCAGCTTATTAACAAGACAAAGAAGGTCGAAACCTTTTAATCTTGGTTTCTCTTAATAACTGCTTACCTCCGGGGCATCTCCTCAGAATTAATTTACGGACTTCATCATAAATGAAGATGAGAAGACTGTATGGGAAGGCACAGAACCACCACAGGGGCCTGAGAGGAAGAGAAAAAGAGTATATCAGGGGCGGGGATAGATAGAGTAGAAGTGAGTCACAGGCAGGGTGCAAATTGTTAAATTCATTGCAGCCATTTTTGAATATTAAGGATAACAACATGGTGTTAAGAAGATCAGAGACTTCATTTAAAGTCGAGAGTGACAGGCTAATGGCAGCCTATTAGGTCTTTAAGAGGTTATTTTTCGGTTCAGTGGAGATATGCATATGCAGAACGTACTTCAGAGGGTACATCCGCAAGGCAACGTCCATTCCAGGGCAGTAGGAGAGGAAGGCAGCCAAAGCAGTCTCAACAAACAGGCCGAAGATCAGGATCCGGTTCCTGTTGAACAGAAAATAAGAGTATATCAGAGAAAGGGAAAGGTTCAAACTAATCAAAAAGATATCTTCACACCCTATTATCCATCTTTTACTCCAGCCCTCCCTTCCTTTCCCCCTCACAAACCTCATGCCCTGCTTAAAGAGGGAGTTCCTCCTGGTCTTGCAGATGATTAGATCGGCCCACTGGACAACCACGATGCTGGCAAAGAAGCTGGTGTGGCAGGTGAATTCAATGATCTTTCTCTGCTCATAGGTCTGCCAGGTTGAAACACACATTACATTTAATTCCGCATGAGTATGGGACTATTCAAATAGTGTGCTGGTTTGTCTTTGTCCACACTCCTTACCCACTGCTGCCCATAGGTGTCCTCTAGGTCATTGACTTCGCGATCGTCCCACATGATACGGATGCCCAGCAGGGTCTTCGGGAGAAAGCCGTTCTCAGCCAAAATCACAAAGTAGGTGAAAAAACCACCAAGGGCCTGCATCATCCCTGGAAACAAGAAAATGGGCAAGGAACAAATGGCAAAACATCATCTATTCATCTGTTCTCAGTATTCTTGGTAAGAGTTACATTATTTAACATTTTATTTTTCATTTCCTAATAAGTTTCCTGGAAGAACTACCAGTATGTAATTTGGTGTTAATTAAAAAGAAAACTGACACAACGTTCTGTCTTTTCAGGGGTTTTTTTTGTTGTTATTTTGGGATCTTGATAAATTACCATTAACATAAAGCAGGTGTCGCTGCAGTAATGGATGGATACACAAACATTGTGTAAATTTTCTGTTACTGAATTAGATTTTTATTCATCTGTTGTATTACAGCACAATGTAGCAATAGGGGCAATGCTTTTACAAAACAAGCAGGAAAATAACATGATTTATAGATAATGTGTGTCTTCAGTAATGCCACGGAGCCAGGGTCTGTAATATTCTGAGGAAAAAAACTTACAAATTTTATTGAATTAGCACTGAAAGTTCTGTTTACAACCATGAAAAGCAAACAGGCTAAGAAACCTAACTAAAATATGTGTTCTGTCTTTCTATCCATCGCTCCGTTTTAGTACTGTGGACAGCGCCCACACACAACCTAATTTAGCCTTATTTCACCATTTCACAGCACAAACCCCCTCTTGCTCAGCTGTGGGGCTCACAATAATCATATGCCAAAATATTTAGACCCCAAAAAGCATTAAAGTACTTGCCAGGATACAGTGCATCTACCGATCTATACCTGTATGTGGGGCTTTCAGATTTTGATAGTGACAGAGGTGGTACCGGATTCAACTAATTAAACCCCGGGGGCAGGGTGAAATCACCGTCCCCTTCCAGCATGGCCATGGTGGATAGCCTACAAATTGCAATGTTCAAGTTGGACCTGGAGTGTTGTGGGTTGAGCCCTAAAGACTTGTTTTAGCCCAGCTATGTCTGTCCACTAACAAACCTATTTCTCACAATTTTTTGATTTTATAATTTTAGAGAATATCTGAATGTCTTTTTATTGTTAATTTGTGAGTTTCTTTCTCATAATTTTCTTAATTTTATATTACCACCTAAGGTACCACTTATTTATTTCATTTACAATGGCCTTAATACAACGTCGTAGGAAATTTACGAAATTCTAAAAAATTTACTTTTATGCAGCCTCAGTTCACCTTGTGTTTTTCCACTTAAAATTGTTTTGGAAAAACAGCACAGGTGATCATATCTTCCTCTCTCTGCCCTCTACAATGTTACTATTTTGTAAGTAAATGGCTCCAGACAGCTGAATACTGCAATAATTGCCTATAGTGAGTTTTAATTTCATGTTGGAAAATATGTTTTGTCAGAGTGGGCGTAACGTTTTCAACATGACTGACATCTTATTTTAGAGATTAAGTCTTCACATATACCAAACCTCCACAAGTAGGCTACTGATCAAGGATTGAGACAATGCTTATTAATCATCTAGTTCATGATAATGTTACAGTGAAACCCTGCACCAGGTCAGTTTTTATATTGATAGATAATTTTATCAGTAATAAGAAAATTGGCTGCATCTTTTTTTCTAGATGCTGTTACTTCTCCTCACTGGTCCCTGCTTACAATGTTGGGAATATAACTCTACTGTCACATTCATTGTTTGTCACTCAAGATCAAATCATCAGTTAAATGTTCATTGTAGAAGCTTCAGGACTTCAAGCTGTAATGTCAGAGCAGTGGTTTTTAAGTGTGATTTGATGTGACCTGCAAAAGTTCTGCCCCAGTGGTGCTCATCTTGGAAGAATTATGGGAGTTGATGTGAGTCGCCGGCTGTTTTGAGAGTGTTCAACTTTAAATTGTATGTCATCCAATGAAGCCCTGTCATATTTTGACCTATTTAACAGCCTATGAAATTGGGCCAGCTTTTGAATTTCACTATTCCCAAACCATATAAAACTAGAGATAAAAAGCATGCATTCAAGTGAGGCTCCAACCAGTGAAACATGACCAAGATTAAGTAGAAAACAGTTGCAGTCTCCACTCTCAATTTGCTGTAAATGTCAAGACAATTAGATGAAAACCGAAGCACTCTCTCTTGACTGTCTGCTCACCTCTGGATCTATTTTCCTTAATAGTACGTACCTAAACATTTTAAAAGGCAGTATGAAATGCCAGAATTTCTGATAAATGTCAATATTTTATGTTTTTATGTCTGTGATGTTTATTATAACCATAACCTCACACTACAAGAGGCCAGTCACAGTGATTCAGGTTTAAGAGCTGTGGTACAAAGAGGTTATGAGCCACAAGAGGACAAACCTATCTGTCCGTAGGCCATGCTGATGAGGCGTTCATTGACCAGCTTGTCTGATCTGGGGTTCCTTGGTTGGCGTTTCATGATGTCACTCTCAGCTGTCTCATAAGCTAATGAGATGGCTGGAACCTGGAGGGAATGGGAGGACAGCACAAAATCAGCTCACTTTGTGCACCCTGTACAATAAATGCACAGGAATTTGTCTTTGTGGCAACTGTACAAAGGCATGATGACAGCGCCAGGCACGGGGTACCCCAGACATATCACTATTAGCATAATTCAGCATTCAATCACTGTGTGGAAGGAGAAAAGACAGCAAAAGGGCAAGGAAGATGGAAAAAAGGAAGCAGCGACAGTGACAGATAGAGAGGAGACGAGAGGAGTGAGATTGATAGTGAATTTCAAGACATTCATAAAATAGGAGGGTGGAAAGGTCCTTGTAATAAAGATCTTATATTGGCTGGTTTTACCAGGTAAGCAACAGAGCAATATATGTTACTTAAGGCAGGCTATATCTGCGACTTAGATGGGATTTAAGGTGGGGACGTGGCACTTTGGGAAACTGAACACAAGCTCTGTGGTGTACAAATCCAGTTTGTTTTGGTGTTATACTCTCCTGACCCACAGCAGCTGAGAAAGACAAGAAGGCAAAAGATGTGAACATGCTTGGCGTTGATTTTCTACACCTCTAAAGGATGTGTGTGTGTGTGTGTATGTGTCATTCTGTGTTAATATCCAAATTCCAGTCTTGAAGCATTCTTCTTGCTTTGATAAACATCTTTTGCAGCCATCCTTTTCCACATGGCAGTGCCTGCTAAAAATAATCATAGCAGACTCCAAGAGCTGCTTGTCACTGCAAAATCTCAGCAGAGCCCTCAAGCCTGTTGCCTGGAGTTGAACTAAGCTGTTAACAAGCTGTTAACAACTTCACCAGCAGACATGGGGAATTTGTAGTTTTACTTGTGTACTGTACTATAAACACTTTTCAGTACTTTATTGAATATTTAAATCTTTTCATTGTGTCCCACTCTTCAAAGCAGCTGTTCACTCCACCAGCAGTTATTAAATACATGCAGACATGTTACTTTGAAGAGACAGGTTTTTATATGCAAAACAGGTGCACAAATTAGGTGCTTTTAAGCTTCAATCATCACATCTTTAAAGTGAAATCCAGCCAATAAAGAATGCACTATCCCTGTGATCTCAGACTGTTAAGTAAATATTTGTCAACACGAACAAATCTGTCCTGCTGCTAGAAAACCAATGAAGTTCATCTTTGATGTCACCTGAGTAAAATAAGTGGAAACAGCTGCTCCTCTTTATCTTTAACCTTACATACATACCATACATTGACCTAATTACTTGTAAAATATTCACGTTTGGCTAATTGGGATGTATAAGACCCAGTTTCTGCCGCATGCCACTGTCTGGTGGCTGAGAGCAGGAAAAATTAAAGTTAAAGTAATGAACACAAGTGAACAAGTCCTTTTGAATATATTCATCCTGTTTCCTTTCTTTTGCAATGATGGATTACGCCCCTCAGGCAAGCAGCGTGCCAGCAACTCTTTTTGTTGCTGCTGGAAGTACAATGGAGAGACTGGCATCTGGAAATGGCAGAGCTGTGAAATGTAAATCTGTATGTGAGCGTCACCCGGTCTTTGTTCTGCTTGAACAAATGGACGTCGGCAGTGAGCCAAGAGCAAATTTCTCCCACCGACAGAAAGAACAAATTAAACCAAACATTTTGTTCTTTTTACCTTCAGGCATTCATATTTGACACCGGTATTACATTAGATTCCTTAATTTCACCTTTAGCTTCCCTGAAGCTATGCGACATGCTAACAATCAGCATCACTTCATTGGGAAGGATCATTAAAATTAGCCAACAATTACCTCGGAGCACTGAGAGTCCTTTGTAATATAATCCAGTGAATAAAGATAAATATAAAACTTTGTGTTTTGTTGTCATTGCCTCTGTGAAACTCCTGTAAATAAAATGTGGGGGTGAAAGTTGACTGAAAAACAAAAATTGTTCAAATATACTGGAAACCAGGTTTTCAACAATTAGTACATCATATACAATACAGGCTTGGCAGCAGTATATACATCTATTAAGTGGTAATATTTCAGAAACCTAGCTAAAACAATTGATTAAGATCATGAGGAAACCTATGTTATCTACACAGGGATTGAGGGACTGTATAAAGGGAGTTGAGCATTAGTTTTCCCACTGCTCACCATGTCAGTGCCCAGGTCGATGCAGAGGATGGTGACTGTTCCCAGCGGAAGAGGAACGCTAGCAATGATGAAGAGGAGGAAGGGCGAGATCTCTGGGATGTTACTGGTCAGTGTATATGCAATGGACTTCTTCAAGTTATCAAAGATGAGACGACCTGCGGGGGTCAGAAACACAAGAAAGAAAATGTTTCTTTGTAGAGATGATACATGTATATACGGTGTATATATATTTATTTTAATATTGTCTTTTTCTGTCTTCATCATGGTCAAGTGAAATTTCCAGGCTTACTGAAATAAAAAATGCATGCTTTGTCAGCATATCCAAATTACTACTTTAGATTAAATTCCAGGTATTAGTAAGTAAAACATTCACAGACTGCAGCTCTTTCAAAATGCTGCAGCCAGGCTTCTAACACGCACTAAGAGGAGTGACCATCGCTGCCATTCACAGGCTACCTGTGAGTTTTAGAATTGATTTTAAGATTTTACTACTTGTTTTTACAGTCCTAGACGATCAGGCTCCTGCCTACATCTGTGATTAGATAACTCCCAACGTGCTGGAGATCCTCCAGCCGGGCTCTACTAATGGTTCCAAAGTCTCATCTTTTGCCGTTAGGTTTCCCAGCTGTGGAACTCTGTTCCTGGAGATCTCCGGCAGGCAAACTCCGTGGCCTCTTTTAAATCTTAAGTCTCATTTTAATCATATGGCGTTTTCATAACTGTTGTATTATTGCTGTTATCATTTTAATTCCTTTAATTCATTGAAACTTTCTACTGTACAGCACTTTGTAACTTGGTTTTGAAAAGTGCCATACAAATTAGGTTAATATTATTATGTCAATTCACAAATCTTAATAACAAATTTCAGGTCGAGCCTCACCTTTCAGGTTTCTAAATGCTGACCATTAAAGTAAATACATTTGAACATTTTCCTTTCAAATATGTTAACAGCATTTTCTACATCGCTGAGACCAAGTCCTGTTAATACTAGGCATTCAAATTAATTATGTAAAACCTGCGTGGTGCAGTCTTATGTCTTTGTTATTGTCCTGGATTTCAACAGTTCAAAACTTGACACTTTAATAGCAGAATGTTCTAGTTTTTGAATCTCGTGTCCCTTTGTTTCTCTGACTTGCTTTTTTTCCCCATTTTTGGTTTCTGTCTTTGCTTCCTCTCTCCATATTACATCCTTTTTTTTATTCTTCCATTCTGGCACCCTGTCTCTCTTTCCCTCTCTCTGTCATTCCCCAACACTCACCCTCCTCTACTCCGGTGACGATTGAGGCAAAGTTGTCGTCCAGCAGGATCATGTCAGCCGCCTGCTTGGACACATCAGAGCCGGCGATCCCCATGGCAACGCCGATGTCGGCTTTCTTCAGGGCTGGAGAGTCGTTCACACCGTCGCCTGTCACAGCCACGATCGCCCCCTGCGCCCCCACAAGGACCAGCGAACAAAAAGTGTCAAGAAGAGAAAGATAAGTACCATGATTTAAGCTTTTCTCTCTCCACTTCCCTCTCTTTCCCCCTCCCCTTCTCTCTTAATAATGTCTTTTCAAAGCAGCTCTGGGGAGATTAAATGAAAAATGGAATGGAGTTGCAATCATTCAGTGACACAGAGTGAAAGTGAGTGAGTCAGGGTGAATTGTAGCATGACCTTAATATATGGGGATGTGTCCAAGGGAATACAAGTGAAACAATATATATAAAGGGTTTAATATATATGGTTAATGGTATACTTTCGAGATACACACTTATACTCGCAAATAGACCTCCATAGCACGCACACACCCTTTTATTCATCCGTTCAGCCACCTTCACTTACAAATGGCTCAAACACACTCATACACACACAAAACAGTTACACACAGCAAACTGTATTCAGCCTGAAATGGCAGGGACACACACACACACACACACACACACACACACACACGTATGCTCTCACATACACACACTCGTATTCAACCATACCTCAACACGGGGGCATATAAACAGACACATTCAAGCATTCATCCAGACTTTATCACAAACACACACATGCTTACATAGAATCATATAAACACACATCGCTATTTAGCTGTACGCTCTCAGAAAGGCCCAAACACACACACATTCACACACTATCTCACACACACACACACACACACACATACTCCTGTCCATTGACCTGTCTCTGGCAGCCCTCCACTATGATGAGCTTCTGCTGTGGGGAGGTGCGAGCGAACACTATCTCAGTGTGGTTCCTCAGCAGGTCGTCCAGGTACTCGGCGCTCATGTCCTTTAGGTCCGAGCCGTGCACCACACAAGCCTTGGCATCCCTGGGGAAACACACATATAAACACACAAACACAAACCCAGCAAGGAGTCAGTGATACCGGGGTCAATTATGCAGAGGGAAGCATTGACATTTTCTTGCTTTCTCCTCAAGTTTGTCTTTCTGTTTCGTTCTCAGACACAAACAACTGCACACCAGTACACACCTCTGGCATCTTAAAGCTTAAAGGAAGGGTTTAACATTTAGGGAAATACGCCTATTCACTTCATGGATGTCTGTTGAAAATGAAAGTGGAACTAGCAGCTGATTAGCTTAGCTTAGCATAAGGACAGGAAACCGCTGGCCTGGCTCTGTCCAAAGGCAACAAAATCCTCCTACCAGCACCTCTAAAGCTCACGTGTTGTTTTAATGATTCAGCTGTGTCTACTCTGTGCACATGCATCTATTGCACGTCTGTCGTTCCTGGAAAAGGGATCCCTCCTCTGTTGCTCTTCCTGCGCTTTCTTCAAATTTCCCCTCCCTGTTTAGTTTAATTAGTTTTTCCTAAAACAAATGAGATATAATGTGTTAACATGTGAGCTTTAGAGGTGCTGATGGTCAGACATTAGAGTGGTATTGATCTTCACATTCAAAATTGCATATACAGTAAATATACTTACTAAAATGTTAAACTATTTCTTATAACCTTGTGTGCACGTACATCCCTATAGACACATCACTGCCCACATGCTCAAACACAGACACAGTCACATAAAAAGTAACTCTTAGACGCTTGAGCACACAGCCTAAACCTCCTCTGACACACACACACACACACACACACACACACCTGGGGTTAACTTGGCTCAGAGGGATGTTCAGTCTCTCAGCGATGTCCTCAACCGTCTCGTTGCCCTCAGAGATGATGCCCACACCTTTAGCGATGGCCTTGGCTGTAATTGGATGGTCCCCTGTTACCATGATCACCTGACCGCAGACAGAAGGTCCCATAAATCACAGAGCATTATCGCATTAAATCCCACTGCACCTCATCTGTATGTCATGTGTCAAAGCATGCTTGAGCTACAGTGCAGTATGGGATTTTAGGGTCTATATGTCATCCTCATGTGTTGCGTAGTTACACTATAATAAATAATAAAATAAAATAATAATAGTGCTATTGGGGCCAGTATACTCCCACAAAAATCTTGTTTGGTACGTTCTTATATGCAAAATAGTGGGATTGTGACCAAAAACAAGAGTGGCTCATGTCTATGGTCACTGTACTCTGCATAGACTTCCCAAAATACAGCTCATCCTCATTCATCAACCCCCAGTTTACCTGCAACAGGTTAACAATGTGATATGACCGGTTTCAGGCAGCATATTTTCATTTCACTTCTACAAGTCACACTTAGTTTCAAAGTGACTTGCAAGCTACTTCTTGTCCTGAAGGAGCTTTTCTGGCACAGAAAATCATCCAATCATGCAATCATCCAAAATGAAAGAAACAGACAGAAGCAGATGACTAAAAAGCTCTCTTCTCATTTTATCACATAAGTGACGATAGAACATACTGTATAATGGGTTTTAAACTATGTTTCTTCAAAATCTCACATCAGACTGTCCATGAGTGGCTTACTTATGAATATAACTTTTTCTATTTCTGTGGCCAATTGTAAAGCAACGAACCACAGCTAAAAGTAAAAGTAAGATCTTGGGTAAGAGTTGTGAAACATGTACGTGATCATAGACAGTCATATGAGGATAACACGCCTATAATTTAGGTTTACACCGTAACTGCATCCATAGAAACCACAAGGAATAACTTATTTTGAATACCTGCTACTGTATATGGCATCTGAACCTCAAAAGAAAAGTTAAGTAATAATGAGTAGAAGGACAAACATGATTTGTAGGTGCAAAGCTACCGATCCCAGTCAGATCTTTGTCAGGTCAAGAAGATCATTTAGAGTTCACTACCATAATGCCTCAGTCAAAATAAAGCTGATATAATTCAACTAAAACTCACTCTCAGGAAACTTTATGATTTAAACATTTTATCAGACATGTCATCAGTTTTGCAGTTGTTTTTTTTTTTAGCAAATACTCCTCAGCCATTTTCTTCACTTAAGCAATAGTAACATCTTCACTCACTTCTGCCTCTAGTTTGTTCTTTAAGCCAATTACAGTGTGTCTTTAAAAAAATCCATTATCAAAGGAAGCACGATAACTACTGTACCTGAAATTAAATGTGCAAAATCTCTTTCCCATATTTTTAGTGCTTCCCCACGATATTAGAACGACTGATTCTACTCATTATCCATTTTTATCTCTGTTGGAAATTGTTTAACCTTCCTGTGGCCCGGAAGGTTAAACAACTGATCTGCTCTGTAAAGATTTGCCGTTGATTAACATATAACTAAAATTTGTAATGAATGTACTGAATCTGCGTTTCACAAAAAGAAACTTTTTTAAAAAATCAGCATTGGAATATTCTGAGTTCATCCTTTATCGTTGCTTTTTGGCTTCACATCAGAAGTTCATTCATTTTTGCTATTGATGATTGATATCGGATTTTGCAATTTCTGATCCCAAAACTGTGAACCATCTTCTCATCGGAGAATTACATTTACTCCTAATCTTGTCACTCATTTCTTCCACAAAAACAGTCTGGGAGAGGTGAGTATACAACCTCTGAACAAACGTCTGTCCACCATGCTTCTGTTACTTTGGCTGGCCGTTTACAGCTGGAGTGTTTACACTGAATATGTTTATCAGCACCTTCCTCTGAGTAATATAATTTAATTTATCCACCAATTATCAGCTATCAGTGCCCATTCAAGTGTCATTTGGACTCCATTTTGTGATTTGAATATACATTTGACATGGAAATCCCTTCTTTAAAAAGTCCAATAAATGACACTCCAGGAAAAGGCTTTTCAGGAACTACAATGAAGGGTGAATCTGTGGAACCAATTACCTTGATACCAGCAGAGCGGCATTTACCCACTGCGTCGGGCACAGCGGCACGCGGCGGATCAATCATGGAGATGAGGCCCAGGAAGCAGAGCTGCTCGACGGGGAAGTTCATGTCGTCGCAGTCGAAGGTGAATCCTCGAGGGAACTGGGATGAAGAAAGATTCAAGTGGCAGAAGCCTGCAAGAGAAGAGGGATCAGTGTGGCGATCATTCATAACTGACTGAAAAGACATCTCATCTCTAGTATACTGCAGCTATTGGGGGAAAAACATGTTGTTTTGTTGTTTTGTTGCTTTGACGTCAACTGACGATGTTTCTGGCACTTTAAAAAGTCGACCAATCTTTCGTGACTGTAAGGACGTTTTAAGTCAAAACATCAAACAAACACTAAGGATGTTCTAGTGTATTTTTGCTGTTGCTCTCAACAGTAAAACATTACAACCTATGTAGGAGTAAAATGTAAATATGAAAGAGGTCTGAAAGCTCTCAAAGACACCTTCAGGAAAAACACTGTCCTCTGGTTCCTATGATCCTTTACCTTACATATGCATACAAATCATTTTTAATTTTAGATTTGGAGGTTACAGGTCTGAAATACAAATGGAATCAGCCACTTTTATTAATTCATGATCCACAGCCCCTGAAAATTGTATCTCTTGAGTCCCTATAGAGCAAAGCAAAATAAAATGCTTCTGATGAAAAAAAAAAAAAAAAAACACAGACTCAGTCTAAAAGCGGAGAAACCTTTCTTTGTCACAAAACACCCGACCCATCATCATCACCACCACCACCCAAGGCATAACTGAGGTTTAATAATTTACATGATTTCAGGAGTTTCACTCCAAAAATGGCACCATTCCACATTTCATTGTTTGAAAAAGTGACAACTACTCTAACAAAATGATGATAGCACATAATTATTACCTATGGCACTTTTAAAAAGATGCCAAGTAACTTTTTTTTCCTTCGTTGTCAAAAAGATGACATTTACAGAGTCTGGATACGGAACACTTTTGAGATATTGAAAGTTGAATTTCAGGTAATGAGTGCACCCAAAATGTGACTATGGCATTTACAAGGGAACATGTTATTTCATGTACAAATTATAGTAGACTTTAGTTCAGAGTTTGACCTGAATTGAATTACCAGTCCATTACCAGCTCATAATCCATACAACATTACATTCACACCACAGAAAACCCATAGCTCTGACATTTTGTGTAACAATGTTCATTTTAACTTTGATTCCATGCCCAGTCTATTGCAATTCTGGCTAAGACAACACTGCCAAAACCTTCTTCTTTGTATACACTGTTACAATAAAAGCATTAATCACTTTTATTGGGGAATGTGGTTAAACAACCCTGTTAACCAAAGAGATTATAAAAGGGAGTGCTGTGTCAAACTGCTTCTCCCCGCTATCTATTCCCGAATAGGCTGATAATGGCTAGTGCCACGAAGCATACCGAGCACTCTCTCTCCCAATCCTCCCAGCTCCATGTAGGCGTCCTGGAAAGCGTCTCTCCAGTCTCCATCAAGTGGATGCTCCTGGCCATGGATCATAATGGTACTGCACCTGTAAAACATTTATTAATATACTGCTGCTGCTAATAAATTAATCTCGATCTGTGTAGCAATTCTGTTAACTAACTGCTGTTCCCACTATATATATATGTTATTGTGCATTAGGGTTCATTTTTGCACAAAGGTCACACTTGGTGTGGTGTATTTGGACTGATTGGAAAGGAAACGGGGGCCAGTCTTGGGCCAAAACTGGTGTGACAATTTGACCAAAATGAATTTGAAGCATGAAAGTGTCCCATTTAGGCATAGAAATTTAAAAAACCTTTCAAAAAATTGGGTACTTCAGCACCTCAATCCCACCCCCATGCCATCAATATGCAATAACAAATATATTAGAATGAGACTGGTGTTACGCCATTTTCTCATTTTCAACAAATCCACAGAAAGGACCAAAACCACCGTGATCTACCGTGTGTCTACAAACACTTTCTGATTTCCCTACCCTGTCTGAGACTCTCAGCCCCAAAGCCCAGGAGTTAGTAAACTACAGGTCATGGTGATGAAGAAACATTTCAGCAGCGCAAGAATCTGGCTCACTGATTTGTTTTTAATAGGTTTTTTTCTATTTTGTGGTTTTTAATAGTTTTTGTTCAACAATAAGCTACATCAGGTTTTGGATACACACAGACAACAGTTGTTACTAGGATCAATTTAAAGTTGGCTTTAATCTTTTCATGGGATTTGTTAACAATTAAAAAAAAAAAAAAAAATAGAAGGAGAGTAGTCTTTTTTCAACTACATTCCTGCAAGAGAAGGAATACGTAAATGAAAAACAGGTAAAAACCGAGACATTTAATCCATCCATTATTGATTAACTAACCTCTCCAAGATTCTCTCTGGCGCTCCCTTCATGACCAGAATATGACCAGAGGGATTATCCTCCAACTCATGGACGGAGAGCTTGAAGAAAGGGGAGAAGACTTGTGAGGATATAACATGACACGATATATTTTGAAACAAGATGCAACATTTTGTTTCTTACCGGTCTAAAATGTTTCTGTTTTAGTAAGATAAGACTCAAGGCAGACTAAAACTCAACAATGAATTTCACCTTCATGCAAGCAATCATTTTTTGTGAAATGAAATGAAATGAAAGTCTTTTTGAAGCTGACTTGACTTATTACACAGTGTAAGTCATATGTATTCCCTGTGTTGAAGGAGCTTTCCTTCACACTCTCACGTGCATTCTCGTGGTGTTACACCTTGCATTACCCCCTCCCCCACAAAACACACCTACACATAAAAGCACGCACACTACCCCAGGTAATTTGTATCTGAGTCACAGCATATCTAATCTCAGAAAACCAGAGCAAAATTGCTTTTCCCCCCCCTCAACACAGATGATCCTATTTGAAGTCAGGGAACAGGTGCACAAAATACATGCAGGAAGTCTTTTGTTTGCTTCAACATTACTGTTGTGTTATTCATATGCTGGCTCAAATCTCCAGACAGGATGGGAAAGCAGAGACATTCCCCCTGTCTTAATTGCTGTGGTGCCCTTGAGCAAAGTGTTAAAGGTCTATGTGATGATTTTTTCATAGTTCAATATTAACTTTAAATTTGTGCCAGTGTTGTTGTCAAATCCTACAGCATATAATAAAGCATGCACCTTAATTTAATACCCTTCAGAAGTGCATGCTATGACCTATAGTGTACATTAAAATAGTACAAAATTGTAGCTATGACTTTCTGTTGTTATTCTTGTTCATGCTATACATGCTTGTTTATTGTCTCGTGTCTTCAGAAATGTAGCAGACTGCAGTTGTAAATTCTGATATTGTCTGTGATGGAGGTCATCACATTGAGCTTCTTATGCTTTGACAATTTTATTTAAGGTCAAAGTATTTACATCCAGTGCATCAAACACTAGGTCTCCCAACCCTTGTTGAGCTTTTCACCACAAACAAAAGAGATTTCTGTCCACTGAAAGGCAGCAACAGATCATCTTCTGAACAGCCAAAAATGAACCCCTTTGTAATCCACATTTAATCTTCTATCAGAAATTACACACATGATAAATACTATAGCCGCTTCTCTGTGGCAAACAGTATTGTGTTTGTGGCAGGTTGGGCAACTTCCAAGTATAAATGTGCGCAACAGTATGAATATAAAGCAGGGAGTCTTTGTAAAAGAGCAAGCATGTTTAGGCTGCCTTCCCTGGATGGAAAAAGGTTAAAAATGAATATGCATGATTCATTCACAGCATGTAAAAAATAAAAATAAAGAAGAAAAGAATGTTTTCCCAACTCTTGGAAATGAATGAATGAAAAATTTAAAAAAAGAAATTGTGATTGTAAAAGCTTGTAATTTGAAACTACATACTTTAATTGTAAAAGACTGTATGAATGTACAGTGACTATGAATTAAGTTACAGTATGAATGGTCTCTAAGTGGGTGTAATATTTTATTGTAGACTTGCATCAGCAGCTCTTCGAACACAAAGCCATGATTAGTCCCATGCAGTACCTGGTACTTGTTGATGGAGTTGAAGGGGATCTCTGCCACTTTGAGGTTTCTGGCTCTCATCTCACGAACATTCCCGCAGCACAGCTCGATGGATTTTAACAGAGCTGACTCTGATGCGTCTCCCGCTGTCTCCCTCTGGGGAAACACACACACAGCCGCACATCAGCACACTCACATTGGCATATTGAGAAATGACTGTTGTCTGTCTCACTGCCTGCGTTTATCACACTGTGGTGGAAGGGAGCTTTAACTGACTAGAGCAGCAACTGAGAAGACTTTCATTACGTCCATTATGGTTCTTATTAATTATGCAGGTAGCATAGAGTATGATCGGTCTCACGAACGCTTACTAGCTAGCCACAACAATGTTTTTAAAGTTATGTAACGATATAATGTAAAAATAATGGAAGCGCAAAACCTCTTTTTCAGTTTAGGGGATGAAGAATAATTTGACTGAACCAGCTTGTTTTCTTCTGAAAAGCTGATTAGTCGACCATGTATGCCATTTGCAAAGTTTCTTAAGACCATTTTTAAAGGATATGGATGTAAAAGGACGAAAAAATGAAGCGTTCATGTCATTTTGGAAATAAATATTGTAGCAGAAACACATTAGACCAATGCCTATTGGCAATTACCAATAGAAAACGTCATAATTTGGTTGTGTGGTCCATTTTTGTTTGGAGTGATGCACATGACACTGGGTGCTTTTTCAGGGAGAAGAGGCAAAATTTGATCACTGAGTTAAACACAAAATCTGTAGTTTTATAGTAATTAAAGAAACACACAACACATAAAAAACATGTTGTGATTTTTGTTTTGAATGTCATTTATTTAACCTTCCTTGTAATATAAGAAAAGGCCCATGAGCATGTGTAGACTATTTGCACATGCAGACATCCACACACTGAATAACACACACACACACACACACACACACACACACACACACACACACACGGTAAATAGGCCTATTTTACAAGGCTCAGACCTGAATTACACCCCGTTAGGATGCACATTGCTCAGTATCGTTTTTAGGTAGGTAGGTACATTTATTTGTCACAAAATAACAACTTATATAGTGAAACTGAGTTTTTTTGTGGGATTTATCTGCTTCAACGTGTGTGACAAAGATGCTTATAGGGTGCTTAAATCATTTATCGAGAAAATTCCCCTCTGATAACCTGTAAATTCCCCCTCTGATAAAGAAATTGCACTGCGCTGCAATTCATTCCACTCTTGGAGCCAATTTATTAAAATCCATGCTGAACTGATTGACCTGATGCCCAACATACAAACAGGGGCCGAAAGAAGACAAGAGATTTCTCTTTGTTGCTGTTTATTCATGCATGAACAGCCGCAAAACAAGGACATGCGCTCCGCAAGATTTGTCCTTGTTTGTGCCTTTTCATGAATGAATAAATAGACCAAGGAAATTCCATTTGTCTGTTTTTTTCGGGTGCAGACGGGGACTTGTTCTTATAATGGCAGTGGAGCCTGGGCCTTGACTGCTGTGTTTTGAGTGCTGTCAGGAGATATGGCTGTTAGTTAATGCAGAGAGGAAGCCTGGGCACCTCGAGGGGCAGGGAGGCTGCAGTGCCAGAGTCTGCTCCCACCGGAGTCAAGAAGCTGTAATCCCTGATGCTGGGAGCCGTACAGAGAAATTCTTCAGGTCAATGTAGCACAGGTTGAGGGATAGCGGCTGGTAGAACACTGGGATATTATTGACTTACCTACCCAGCAGTGTGTGTTTGTGTATCAGTGTGGGGGAGTTATTTCCAGGGGTGCATTGGATTATCCTCTGTGTGAGTGTGTTTATGCGTGAGAGGGAGGCTAAGCATGTAAGCCAGTGTGTGTAGTGCACCTGTGTCTAGTGGTATTGACAAGTTTATTTTTATGGGTTGTTCCCCCCCATGTGGGTGAGGTTCCACTGGCCACAGAAAAGAATACAAAGTACATTTACTCAAGTACTGTACTTCTGTACAATTTTGAAGTACTTATATATTATTTATATATACTATTATATATTCCAGAGTAAAATATTGTACTTTTGGCACAACTGCATTCATTTGACAACTATAGTTACCTGCTACTTTGATTAAGAGAAAAGAATGCATATGATGCACTTTTAAATACTCAATACAGTAAGTATTTTTAAATAAGTAAAATATTTTCATATTTCCATTTTATACCTTACCTGTGATCCACTCCATTTCAGAAGGAAATATTCTACTTTTAACTTCATATTTATATGACGACTATACTAGTTACAAACCCATATCATCATCAGTTTATAAAAGAAGATGCATTGTTATAATTACTGCTCCAGCCAGGTCTGAATATTTTCTCCACTGCAGCCCAGCAATATATAGAATCATTACAAATAGTTTCTCTTGGACCCGTTACAACATAAAAATGTTGCTTACATAAGATGGGCATTATTTTATCCATTTAAAATGACCAACAAAACCCTAAAGAGACTTCCAGAAGGTATGCTCCACAGGACGTGCTCGTTGCATTAAAGAAATCTGTTACCCAAGTGTAAAGGTGCTTTTCTATGTTTTTAATTGGGTTTGGATAGTAGTGGAGTTCTGTGCCATGGAGGAATTAGCTGTATCAGGCTCTGCCCACAAAGACAGTATTTGTTAGTGGGATAGATTAACAGTTGTTTTTCAGTCCCATTATGGGATAGACAAGATTGAGAAACTGAATAGATCTTCCACCTGTGCTTATCTTGGAGTAAAAGCCCACCTGACTTCCCTGATGTCGTTAACTTCACCCTACCGGCAAACTATGAAGGCAAACATCTTGTCTCATAAATAATGTGCATGCATTATTTGAAATCTAAAAAAGGCCTACACATAAAGTCCTTGGATTAAGGTAAACCGGTACCCCAATGCTTTAGAGAATAGAGATAATTCATGACACTGAAGCTGCAGTGCAAAGGTTTGGAAACCTGCTGTTGTGGTGTCTGTGTGTGGTGGTGGAGGTTTATACCATCACAATGGGAAGATCCTCCTGTCCAGCTTTGAAAACAGCTCTGTTGCACAGGGCGGCCACGCGAGACAGAGCAATCCAAGTAGCAGAGCTCTTGTCAAAACCATAACCTGAGAGAATAGCAGAGGGAGCTGTATTAGACTTTTTTTAAAGTAGGACTCATGCAGTATTTATGCTACTGACTTAACTCTCGTTTCACAGAGTACCAGTGGAAATTGTACTGTAGCTAAATAACGGAGGTCAGTTAAGTTGAGCAATCACTTTTTCCTTGACAATAGTGATTTTCAATTCCCCAGGATGGAAAATGGTTTTCATTTTTAACGAGCATGTCTGAAAAATAAAAGCTGTTCGGAAATTTCTGGTATAAAAATTTCATCCCTCCCACCCAATCGAACTGACAGTGACCCTCACTCTGCTACCAGTGCTGGCATACATTTTTCATTTTAGCTTACACTCTCCAGAGTGGTCACTGTCACTGTTATTGTGAAAACAGAATATGATAGCATCATGCAACATACAGTACACTGTGGCCAACTGTGGCTGGAGTTGTTGAACTTCACAAAGTAAGGTGCAAAAGTCTCAAAAACCCTCCTGAAAAAGAATATTTCTTCAACACTAGCACTGTTTTGGCTGTACAGCCTTTGTCAGCACTGCTGTCTATTCATTGTATGATTGCACAATCGTCTGACTCAGTGCTCATTGGTATGCATAGAACACCTGTTTGTTTTTCCCCCCCAACATCTTGCGGTTATTGCAAAAAGCTTCTTTGAAATTTGGCTGGATTTGTAGCAGTTTGGTAGGAGACAGAAATCCGATTGGTTCCGCGGCAGCAGCCTTGCAGAGGAACTCTGGGAAAAGACATGTTTGAAGCTGAGGGTTGTGCCGCCCACTGCATACTGCTGTTCAATTAATCCAAGTGGTAGCGCGAACAGCAATGTCGTTTGGCGGTGTGAACATTGGACAGATGAATTTCAGCAGGTGGTCACCCCCCTCCCCACATTCCCACACACTCTCCATCCTCCCTCTCAGTCTCCCCATCTTTCTTCCAAGCTCACTCCATCCATTCTTTCTCTTTCTCTACTCCTCCCTTTCTTTTCTCCCTCTCTCGCTGTCTTACCAGTCTGGTCCTCGGTGGTGTCAGCATCGTGGATCTGGTTGTCGAACCACATGTGGGCCACGGTCATGCGGTTCTGGGTCAGCGTGCCCGTCTTGTCGGAGCAGATGGTGGAGGTGGAGCCGAGAGTCTCTACGGCCTCCAGGTTCTTCACCAAACAGTTCTTCTTGGCCATTCGCTTGGCAGTGAGAGTCAGACACACCTGGGCGGATGGCGGGAGGTAAGCAGGGGGGGGGGGAGTGAAGAAGGATGGAGGGAAGAGGATGAGGGAGGAGGAAAGGCGAGGAAAGATGATTGTTAGTAGGAGGAGGGGAGAGAGCATGTGTACGCACCGGTGCGTTCAAGTGTTTGTGCATGTGAAACCATGCGTGGCCCAGGTGCCTTCGCCGTGTGAGTGTGTTGGTGTGTGTACCTGTGTATGTGTATGCGTGTATTTGGTTGACTGGTTAACAGCAGGTGCACGGGAACATAAAAAAAACAAACAATGAATAGACACATTCCATATGTTGTAAGAGGCCCATCAATACACATTAAATCAAGCTGACCACATTACTCACATAGCAACAAATGCAGCAAAATTCACACAAACATTTCCACACACAACTGGTGTGTTTAAAGCAAAAGCAACTAAAGAAACCAGTCACTGGAAGTTAATTTATTTTCTGGGACCAGTGAAATGTCGACTGATGGCATTTCAAATGCCAGCTGGCATCCACATCAGCTCACACTTTGTTTATTGTTGCAGAAAAAGTTAGATGCACTTCAACATCTGAGCAACTTCAACAGTGAGTAATAAATCACTTGCCTTGCTGTGTTCTGTAGTATCATTAGAGCTACAGCTAACATTCACTGAGGGTAAATTAGAGTTAGGAAAAGCACAGGTGTAACTAATAACATTGATGATGGCTCCGTTCCATTTAGGTGTGCCAGTAAGCCATGACAGTGAGCCAGCAGGCACAATATCAGGGCTCTAGAGCTGGTGTAAAGCTGCACTAATCAATATTTTTATGTTAACAATGGATCACATTACTGCATGTAATGAGGAAACAGCTGCTCAAGATGACAAACCCATGGAGAATTAACACCAAACTCTGCATTTCCCATAGTTCTACAGAGCTGTTATGGCTCCTCTAGCTCATTATTTTGGTTTTCAGGCCCACAAACTTCAGTCTCATCAACCCCATTTCCAGCTGCCTCAGGTAGCTGTTTTCAGCAAACAAGCTCATTAACCCATTGTAAGCTTACCTGCCCATCAACAAAAAGCAGACAGACAAAGTGAGAGACTAGCTAGTGAAGAAAGTCACACATCTAGATGCCAAAGTGCCAGATATTTTTTCCCCAAGAGCTGGAGGAGACCATAACAGAGCTCAAATGAGAGTGATTATTAGATGTATATTTGTTGGCTGGCCAGATAAGGACTCCAAATCACTGCTAATGTGGTTTTGGGTCTGCTGGATGTATAAATATTTCTTCAGTAACTGTGCCCCAAAATATCCAAAAAGTAAATTCATACAGTAATAACATTATTATTGTTAACAGTTACACCTCTGCTTAATACGGCCACTGTCATAAAGATCTACACTTTATATACATGCTAATCATCATGTATAAATAAAACTAAAAACTATGCAGCTACCCAATGTACATAAAAACAAATTAAGCCACACCCACATACTACACTCCACCCACCAATCATCTCCATCTTCACAAGCTTATTACTATGGTTCGGTTTATTTTATTTTAAGATTAAGATTAAGATCAACTTTATTGTCCCCTGAGGGAAATTTGTCTTCGGTGCTTCGGTCATCGGTGCGGCATAAAGCTGCAGTAACAACAGTAACGCATATGGACATCATACCATCCGCACCATACATTTACATTACATTACACAAGTGTCCGAGACACTGCACCTGTCAATAATTGATTACAAGGTAAGTAGAACCTGTGAAACCTCTGAATAATTATATTCAATTGCACTTGAGCACCTAAAGCAGTAAACAATATAACAAACACTAGAAATATGACTGCCGCAATTCTATATTAAAAAACTCATATCATGATCCGGTTGTTAAAAAACACTAGTGCAAGCGATCAATCAATATTAAACTATGCTTAAAAATAAATAGTGTGAAGTGCCGGAAGTGCTTCAAGCCATCTTGTTCAGAGCAGATTGTTTATTTAGGAGCGCCATGAAAGTAGGGATGAAGGACAACTTACACTTACTTTTACATCTGCTTGCTCTATAGCGTGTCTCTGAAGGTAATACATCATATTGAGAGTGCAGAATATGGGAAGGGTCCTTCAGAATTTTCTGTGCCTGGGAGACTACCATATCTTCAAAGATGGTCTGAAGGAAAGTGTAGTCTTTCTTTCCCATAACCTTTAACGCAGCTTTTATTAGTCTTTCAATTTTTGTTTTGTTTTGGTAAGGGTGCCAAACCAGGATGCCATTCCATATCTGATCAAACTTTCCAGCACAGAGTTGTAAAATAAAGTCATGATCTTAAAGCTCCCTCCAACCAGTCTTAATCTGTGGAGAAAATGCAATGCATGTTTGGCACACAGATAGTCGACATGCACATTTCCTTTTGATTGGTTATCTACTTGTATACCCAAGTACTTATATGAAGTTACTTGCTCGATTTCTCTGTCCACAATGACTACCTTGTCGGGGGCTCTCACTGGGATCAAATATCATCTCTTTTGTTTTCAAATTATTAAGGATGACATGATTCGTCACGCACCAAGCCTTAAAGGAGTCGAAGGGCAGTCGCCAACATGCAATAAACTTATATTAAAATAATTGTGTCATCAGAGAATTTTATGACGTAGTTGTTGGACTCACTACTTCTCCACTCATTAGCATAAAGTGTGAACAAGAGTGGAGGGCTGACAGCTCCTTGAGGTACCCCTTTACTACAATATTTCGTCTTAGAGAGTATAGTATTTACCTTCACTTTTTGCGACCTGTCTGTTAAAAGAGAGTAAAACCAGTTGATAATTAAAGGATTCATTTTCATGTCAACAAGCCTCTGAACAAGCAAATGAGGACGGACAGTATCAAAAGCAGAACTAAAATCAGCAAATAAAACACGTGCGTAAGAGCCAGAGTCTTCTAAGTGCTTCCTTATTAAATGAGACACTGTAATGGCTGCGTCCACAGTGCAGTACAGTGTTTTGGAAAATGTCTCTCTCAAGCTAAAAATCTAATAAAAAAATAAAAACAAATAATGAAAATGAAAAATTACTTGCAACACAAACATTTTTTTAACCTTTGTGTAGAGCAGTCTGGGGCTTTACTCAATTGTAGTGTTCACCTTGTATTCCCAGAAGCCTATTATGACCTGTCCTTGTAACAAGGCGACCTTGTTTATTGCAAACTGAAGTGCACAGTGTCTTCTTGTGGCTCAAACAAGACGAGGTTGTGCTGGGACATAAAATCCAATTAAACTCCATTTAAACTGATATGTTCCTTTTTATAAAAAAATAAATAACTCCAGATCCTTTTCATCCCCCCCCCACACACACACCACTCACAGTGACAGTAGCCAGCAGTCCCTCAGGCACGTTCGCCACGATGATGCCAATGAGGAAGATGACGGCCTCCAGCCAGGTGTAGCCCAGAACCAGTGACAGGATGAAGAAGCTAATGCCCAGGAAGACAGCCACGCCCGTGATGATGTGGATGAAATGTTCGATCTCTATGTTGATGGGCGTACGGCGGACTTGAAGCTCTGACGCCAGCGTGGCGATGCGACCCATCACTGTTCGGTCACCAGTAGCTATAACGACGCCCTGTGCCGTACCTGATAGAGAGGGGTGATTCACTGTTAATCTCTCTGGACAAAAGCATCAGCCTTTTTATTGTTTATCAACCAATCAGTTAGTTACATTAGGTAGTCAAGGAGTTGGCAGGTTTTTCTTTTTGAGAGCTTTTTAATTGTGATATCATGCAATTACAAATCACAAGAGGTAAAGTACAGCCCTCAGTTGGGTGATCCAGTGCTCTGACTGCTTTAATAAAGCGTGTACGTGCTTCTCAGAGCAATATGTAAAGAGACAGATGGCTGCTAACAGTGTGTAAGACACTGTAGAAGTTGAGTGCTATATTTTGTAAACAGGAAAGGAGGCTTGATAGGGAGGTTATGGCTGGATGAGGAGTAGTGATGGATGGAGGTGAATTACAGGTGTTGGCCTGTGATCGATGGCTGGGTGGACTGAGCAGATGCTGGGCGAGTGAGTGAGTAAGGAAAGAATCTGAATTGCATAAAATACAAATAATGTAATCTATAGACCTCGCTAGCAGCCAATTTTACTGGAACAATTTTTACAGTAGAAAGTAGTTTCAATGAAAAAGGTAGAAAGAGAGATCTATGGATTATCCAGAGTAACCGGGACATTGTTTAGGAAAGAAAAAGGTGAGCGCCACAAAACATTTCATTTACCAAAAACCTATACACATAAAACCCAAACTATCCATGTAGCGAGACATCATTAGAGTTAAGTGAGAATAAATGGTCAGGGTGATTTTTTGTGTGCGTGTGAACTGATGCTGTAACACAAACTACACAGAGGAAGCAAAATGAGCAACAGCCTACAAGAGAGCAGACTAAACATAGCTCTCTACTTATAGATTTCATTACTGAAATATGAACCACTACAATTCCCTGGGCAAACTCCGTCTGCTGATGAAAATTATGTGATATGACTCTACTAAATGGGCCTCGTGGTGGGATTGTTTTCCCTTTTCCAAGTCAAGAATGAACTCTGAACCCCAATTAAATCATTAGTTAGTATTTATATTACCAGACTGGACCATCCATGTATTATAAGTATAATTAGACTATTTTTTTATTATACTTTGGAGATGAACTCTTCACTTTACATACAACTTCCATTACAATTTAGAGGTGGCAGAAGTGGCAGATTGTTATATGAAAATCTCATTGAAATGCTTACTGCATCACTGTTTTATGATTGACAGCATCTGAAATACCAACTAAACTCCCCATCAGTTGAATTTCAAATGGAAACACTCATTAATAATCTTTATGCATGCAAAATTCAAGAACTACATAGTGTACTGTAGGATAGAGGTATGTCTGTTCTGATGAAGCATGCACTGAAATACACTCACTGTTGGGTGGCAAAACTATGTTGATCTCCAGATGGCTTTTTAAAAAAAGAGAGAGACATTTAGAGGCGATAAGAGACAATCTTGGCCAGATGTGGCCCACTGACCTTCAGCACAGTTGGTAGAAAAGAAACAGATGTTCCGGGTCTCCAGAGGATTGTCGTGCGTGAACTCTGGGGAGCGAGTCTGAGGCTCCGATTCTCCCGTCAGAGAGGAGTTGTCCACCTTCACAGGGATTTGAAGAGAGGCAAAAACAGACACAGGAGAGAGTGAGGGGGTGAGATGGACAGGATGCAAATGAAAGAAGAAGCACTTATCATAAGTGCAGCGATACACTCTTATCTTATGTTAAAAACTGTCGTCTGGTGTTAATGATTTTTCCCATGTAGGTGAAAAACCTTTTTTTTAACCAATGATCCGTCTTATAATACTGCTTCAAAATCTAGTAAGAGAGGTTCAAAACTGAATGCTGGTCAAGCTAAAAGGGCAGCATTTTGGAGAGATTTTTAGCCAACAGCAACATTAAGTCTACAGAAAGAAAGAGCTAAATATTGAAATATCAGAGGAAGACTGGTAAAAATGTCCAGTCACTGACTCATAAATAGAAAATTTTGCTCAGTCTTTCATTTAACCCCAAATCAAAAGCAGCCAACTAACTCAAAAATCATGTTGGGTGAACGTGTAGTGACCTAAAAGCAAACCATGAAATGTCCAGACTGAAATATCTGAACAACTATCAGATAGATTGCCAGGAAATTTTGCACAGACATTCATGTTGCCCAGAGGACGAAACCTACTGAGTTTGTTGAGCCCCTGACCTTTCCTCGAGCAGCACCTTGAGGCTGTGGATTTGGGGTGAAATATATAATCAACTGCTGGGTGGATTGTCACCAAGAGCGTTAATCTTAATAACTCTGTTGACTCTGAATGTTCATCAAGCCAAAGTTTCAACCAATATTTTGGTTTGTGAACATGTACCTGCAAACCTAACAGCCCCAGGTAAACTTTGTTTTATACCTATTAGCAAATTTTATTGTGCTAACACACTAACTTAATATGGTATGCATGACAAACAATAATTCATAAAAATTAGAAAGAAAGAAAGACAGTTCAACCAGTGTGAACCCCCTGAGAGCTCCAGGCTCCCCAGGGCTGAGCCCAGCACCCCTCCCCTACCTTGCATCCGCTGGAGGAGATCACTCGAAGGTCAGCTGGGATGCGGTCTCCCCCTCTGATCTCCACCACATCTCCCTGCACCACAAGCTCAGCATTGATCTGCATCTTCTCCCCCTCCCGGATCACCAACGCTTGCTGGCATGGACAAAAAGGAAGAGAGAGACGAGAAGGGAGACGGAGTGTGAGGAAGAGCGGGAGAGTTTGGGAACAGAGAGAGGATTTAGTCACTGGAAGAGCCATAAAAAAAAAAAAGTGGAGCCAGGGGGTGTAGAGGTATGTGAAAGGGAGAGATAGAGAGAGGAAAAGGAAAAAGAGAGAAACGACAGGTAGGTGGAAAGGAGGGAGTGAACAGAGCCTAAATAGATTAAAGAATTAGGCAAACGAAGTGCTAGAGGTGGATAATGCAAGGGGAGTTTTTATGCAAACACACTCACAATCCAAAGTTGGCTCAAACATTTATTCTTCCTTTGTGCAAGCTTATTAGGTTTCCACTCAAGTGAGTGTGTAAGCCCTACTTGAGGGACAGCTTATTGACTCAGAAAGCTCTGAGACTACACCAAACACATCAACTTACCTGTGGCACCATTTTCTTGAAGGAGTCCATGATTCGGGAGCTCTTGGCCTCTTGGAAGTATGAGAAACACCCGGTGACGATGACCACGGCTGCCAGCACCACGCCCAGATACAACTGAAATGGGGGCAAAGCCAAGCCACAGGGGGGAGTCGGTGTCATTATAGACTTAGTTTGGTTCATGTAAGGCATGTTTAAGTGCAGGAAAAGGGGATTCGCAAACCTCCAAACGGTTTTAAGACCTTCAATGCGGCGTGCAAGACAAGAGTTAAGTTAAAACCAGTTAAAGCTGGCAAAGTCTTCAGTCTTAGGGGAAGATTTAAAAGGAAAAGCAGTCCTAGAGCTGTATTGTGGTGTACTATTCCTGTCATCTTGGATGGTTCATTCACTGCTAGTCCAAGTGAACATCTGTCTCTCAAACCCAGAAAACCAAGAACTGAGACTCTGATCTGTGAGGTCACCAAAAGACTTTCTGAACTGGAGCCTGGCTTTGCAGACTCGTGGTTGTGTGAAAGCGAGGAAGATTTATTCTGGTGTATTTTACTTTTATTTTCAGTGAATATTTTCAGCTTCACCCGTGTAAAAGCTGTTATGGGTTGAGCTCTCACTGATGCAAGCAAGACAGCGAGGCACTTTGGATGAAAGCATCTGACAGCTGGTGTACTGTAAATCCTGGACTCCTGGAAAATAAAATTCCTAAACGCTGAAATGTTTCCTTTTTGGAAGTTGCTGCTTTCATTTGACAACAACTACAGAATATTTTGCTCTTTTACACTTCAGTGCTTTTTTTTACTATGGCAGTGCAAACTCCTCTGAACCAGGAAATACATCTGTATCCTCAAAAAATCACTTTTCAGTGTTTACGACATTTGCCTCCAATTCAGTGTTCAGTTTGCAGCTCCTGGTTTTCGTCTACATGTTGTTGTTTTTTTGTTTTTTTTTTACAGATTGAAGCTCAGGTCTTTTGCCTCTTCCTGCTTTGGGAGACACTTGTTCTGGTTCACAAGCTGCACAGAGTTGTTAGGAGCAACATCTGTCCAGGCAGGTGACACGTGAATCTAGTTAAAATGGAAATTTAAAGGAGTGAAAAAATAACCAGTAAATTGTTTGACTTTTTAGAAGACACTTTTAGAAGCCTGGGGATCGTAAAAAACACACAAAACATTTTCTTTCAAACGGAAGAAGACAATGCAACCTTTCAGCTCAATAAACACATCAAAATAATGACAATTAAGTTTTAATCTGACAACAGCACTATGTGAAGTTCTGTTAGGGATTTTCATCTTAAATAACTGCTTGTGCATTATGCAGAGGCTCAAAGTGCCAAAGCTGCAGGCAGTCTGGGCTTTGAAGCAGCTCACCAGAGCATCCAGCTGTACATACTCAGTACTGAATGTAGAGATTAAATCGTGGGGAGATTAAAGTTATTACGTGTGTGCATGTGCGTGTGTCTATCTACTGTATGTTACTGTATATTATGCAAGGGTTTAATGCTGTCTGAGGTTTAAAGAGCACTGAATGATGATTGCATAATGACTTAGAGCCACAGAGTGCAGTATGGATGGCTGCTTGGCTCACATTTGATCAGCGGTTGGTCCGAGTATTTATCTGTGCTAATGCCAGGAACGATGCCAGTGTCAGCGGTTGTTTTTACGTCACACTCTCAGAGGGGATGGGGGGGGGGCTCAGTGTGTATTGAAAGGGCTTTACTGGCATGAAAGTTTTAAAAACAATGTGGCCAAAGCATCAAAATATAATTTGTCCAAATATTTGGACTGCACACAAAAACAGATACACTTATGCGGACCAAACCTTGGTGGCATTTTAATGTGTTCCAAATGCTTTTTATATTTCCTTTTGTGATTGTTGGCTCTGTGTTGGTTCATGTGACCTAATTGTGTTGCCACTTTGGCCATGACTCTCAGAAAGGAGATTTATCTCCTTTACTTTATTTTGATCTCAAGAGTCTCAATCTGGTCAAGTAAAGGTCTTAGAAGACACCTGGTGTGGAAAATCCACCAAAATGAGTTATTTTGACACTTTCTCCGGTTTAAGGTTATGATTAGATTTAGTATTTGGTTTAAGATAGGGCATACACATATGTGTAGTAAGTGTGTCTGCAAAATATGTGCATATTTATATGTGTAGGGATTTGAAATAATTTGATATCATTGTTTCTTGATTTTCCGCGGAAATCCACAGAAATTATGATTAAGATCAAATGAGTGGGAAGATTTATCTTTCTTGGAAGAAATTCTTACACAGCCCACGTTACACAGTCTGCATTATCCATTTTGGCATGAAGTTACAGATTAAGAGGTCACCTTGAGCGGATATGACTTCAGTTTTCACTGTTTATTAGCGTCTGAACAAAAATGCAAACCTGCTTGAAATAATGTTATGTCTAGCAAGACAAATAATAACACGTTGCGTTTCTACAGATGCTCCTTCAGTGGAAGATTGCTTTGGAGAAACTGACCTCCACCCTAAATGACAATATTCCCGAGATGAATCGAGATATGCCATCTAGTCATAGAGATGGGCTGGACCTATATCTGCCTAATTAACAACCCTGGAACTGACTATGGCTGACTTCAGGGACTTAAATCAGTAACTTGATTAAGAACCTCAACAAAAAGAAGGAGGAAAAAAAGGATTTGTTTTACACAAGAATTTAGTTTGATGTAATGCTGAACATTACATTTAAACACTGATTTGATCATCTTATATGTAATTTTTACATATATTTACCATATGGTAATGTATGGTTTGATGTTGAAAATGTGTTATTATTAATATTGTGACATTGGACCAACCACAGGGATAAAAGCTATAAGCAAAATGTCACAAATGAACAAAATGTTACCATTTCTAAAAGGGTCAAGATTAGAATACAAATTGGCTTTGGTTAAGGTGTGTATATTTTGTCTACATACGTACATATCTATATATGTAAACCTCAAGCCCTGCGTGTCTACTGTACCTGTACCATATCTGTGGCTGTTTTTGCATGCTTTCTGCATCTCCCCTGCATCCTGTGTGTGATTAATATGTAAGGTGTGTGCTTGTACATGTTGGTGCCTGTTTTACCAGCAGCTTCTCACATTGTCATTGGGCGCCTCGTCCTCTGTGGCCACCTGGATGCTGTAGGCCAGGAAGCAGAGGATGGCACCGATCCAGAGCAGGATGGAGAAGCCGCCGAACAGCTGACGGCAGAACTTGACCCACTCTGGGGTGGTGGGGGGAGGGGTCAAGGCATTTGGACCGTCCCTGGCCAGAATCTCTGCAGCTCTGGCGTTGCTCAGGCCCTGAGGGAGAGCAAATTTTAGGAATGAATGTCTTTCTGCATGCGCTGGGAATCTTATTACAGCACAACGGCCCCATTTTCACCGCGGCTTAAAAAGCAGTTTTACTGCTACAGTTGCAGAACATCAAGTATTCCTGCCTGGCCTATTTAACACCACAAATATAATAAACTGGGTGACTCTCCTCATCCACGGCTTCATGCCATAAAAATATTGATGTACCTTTATTGAATTTTTTTTCCTGATTTTATGCCCAATAGTGTCATGGTCTAATTTACAGAAAATCCATGTAAATTAATTATATTGAGAAAATACACAAAGTGGCTCTCTTTCAAGCTTTAGCAGGTTTTTAAATTCTTTACAAGCTTGTGATATTTTTGAAACACCCGAGCTCCTATTTTATTCAAACACTTTTTAAAAATCAGTTTTACTACACCTGCAAAGTCAAACGTAAGGTCAACAGCAAATGTATTTACAGCATAAAGACTTCTGTGATGTGTTTCTATCTGCCTGTGAACGGAATTGTAGGAGTTGTCGCGACAAAGTGTGTTTGAGTGCATGTGTGTGATTGAAGGGATTAAAGATGAATAAGGCTCAAGGTGAGCTGGGGACACTGCAGTGGATCTAACCTGACCAAAGTAATGCTGGGTCTCAGTTTGGATGTTACTTCCCAGCGCGGGCAAGGAGAGATTACATCTCTGCAGGAGACACAGCAACAACTCTTTGTTGTGTGCTCGTGTGCGCACGTGTAAATGAGAGCGCTTGTGTGTCATTACCCGAGCGAGGTCCACTCCATAGCGTTTTCCCAGGTCTTCCAAGGCGATTCTGTGATCGTCCTGCAGGAATAAAAGGTTCCTTTTTAAAAAAAAAATTGTGCTTGAGTGGAAAAGAAACAGTAAACAGAATCAGAGTAGGCCCAATTTTAATTGCCCAGTAAACTTATTTTAAAGGGAATTTGTCTTAGATGAAACTGCACATATAATTTTACAGCAATACATTCAGCGTTTTACTATATGAACTGAAGCATGTCAATTTGATTTTATATGTATAAATAAAATAACATTGACATGCTTCACTGCCTCTGCATTGAACAAGAGGGAACCAAAATGTCTGTAGTGAAAATCTGACCCACCTGTGTTTGTGTTTGCTGTAACGAAAAAACACTTAGAAATAAAAACGAGCTTAGTAATGTACGTTGTGTTAATTTGGTTGTTTGGTGGCATGTTTATATTATTATTCCTGCGCAACTGGCCAAACGCCACCTCGAGATATTCCCACTGCAGTTGAAGAGGAGTTTGGTAATGTAGCAACATAAAAATGTCAACTACCAGCTGTCAGGATGTTGTCAGTCCCACAATATGAGGCACTGCTTTCCTCACTCAACAATAAGACGGGGACAAACCCACCAAAATCAACAGCAGCCTCAGAGGGCCACAATGAAATGTAGCTGCAGGTGATTTGGCCACAATCAACGACAGGCCCCAGTGTTCACACAATAGTTTGCTAGTTAGGCTTTATTGATATGCCCCCTTCACCCAAATATACTATTGATCAGCCATTGTCTGGTGGTTGCTTATGGGATTTCTGGGACAAAAATGTAGGAAATCACCAACTGAAGAAGTACACAAGGCAGACTGACGAAAGTAAAAGACAGCACTTAATCACAAAACTGCTCCTGCTACATGTTGACAGCATCCGAGGCATTCTTTTCTTTAATCAGTCATAGGCCAACTCGAAAGTTGACAAGAGCTGCTTTATCTGAGATACTGCGTGCAGCAAAACTTACCCCAGTTTTCATGGGCGCCGCTTGGCTGCGCCTTGACAGCACCTCAAAGAGCCACAGCTCCGCACAAGACAAAAACTCTGTACTACACTATTGGTGGCCCACAAATTATTCAGTAGCTTTCTGAGTACAAAGGAGAGCAGCCGGAGGGTGGTGGAACAGATAGGAGAGGACAGGCCGGTTTAGAGCTCATCTGCAACTGATGACACTAAGCAGGTTGGATTGCCATTTTGTTTGTGGGCCACTGTTTTCATTTAGAGTCCTGTCAAAACTCGTGTTAGAACTCGGAATTTGTTAACCCCGAGGTGAGGGGAAACTCTGGGCTTTCAGTTCCAGGAAGGGAAGTAACTTAAACTCTGGGTCAGTTACCATGGTAACTTCAACAAACTCCTGCCTCATACAGAGCCACACGCAGTTTCATGTCCTCATTGATTCAGTCGGTATCAAAGCACATTAGTTAGATGAGGTTTACAGTATGTCCGGATCAAAATCCTGGCTGGATATGTTTGTTACTCAGGACTATCTAAAGTTACTGCTTTAATGCGCTGTGAGTCATTTCTTACAGCAGCAGTTTTTGCCCTCACATTGAACATTACTCTGCATCAAGCCTGTTTCAAGTTTGATAGAGCAGTTGCACTAAAATGTTTATGCACATAATGTCAAATCTTTATTTATATGAAGTTTAAGACATGTAGGATCAATGAATGATTATCTCTATCACTCATGATGAGAAGGCTGGCACTGAACATAATTCCTGTTATATTGGAGACAAGTGTTAATATCGTGGTGCAGCTGCAGAATGTTTTTTAAAATGAGCTGCACAAGTTGTAATGTGTGTTGTGAGCATTTCAGTGACTGTGTTTAAATGCACTACATTTGGTGAAGTAGCTGAAATAAAGCCACTGAATGCTGCTGCTCCAAATACAAATTTGAAATCTACTGTATTTTAACGTCTGTCTTCTTCAGTGCAAATCACCAAAAACCTTGTCACCAGATCAGATTGCGAGCTTATAGTCATGTCTATGTGTCTTTGATCAGAATCTTTTCTTAGATCTTTTCACCACTTTCTCTTCCATTAAGAAATTTTAAGTCTGGCAAATGATAAATTAACGGACAATGCTGAATATAAGTTAATTGGGTTAACTTATGGACACTTTCCCTTGCTCTGACTCAGGTGCTTAAAAAAAAACAATAAATGCACAAAGCCAGCATATAGGCTACATGCATTAATATCTCTACATCCACTGGATTAAAACGAAGACGCTGGCTTTTGTTACTCGTTGCCATGGTGAGTCATAGTATTGGAGCTCCCTTGATGATGTCCCCCCCCCATTCACCATGCATTTACATTTACATTTTACATTTATTTATTTAGCTGACGCTTTTATCCAAAGTGACTTACAATTGCTATACATCTCAGAGGTCGCACGCCTCTGGGGAAACTAGGGGGTTCTTGAACCCATCATGGTTACATTGCGCATTAGCTTTCTGGCTGGCATGAGCCACATGGCAGTGCGGCACATCCTAGTAGATCGATATTCAATAATCATATCAATAAATTAGGTGTCTACTGGATTAGTGGATACTGTGTTGCGAAAAGTTAATGAAAAAATGATGCTGTGGGGCAGAAATACTGTTGTTTTACCACTAATGATTGTAATTATGTGACATTTTATGATTTAGGCCTACACCTACCCTGAGGCATGTGTAACTATTTAGTTGTTAATTAGAGTTATGTTCCAGCGTATCTCCGTGATGCAACTGCTTTTATTTTGGTAATGCATAAATCACAACTTGGTAATAATTGAAGTTATACCTAAGTTTGGACTTACACACGGCTGGTGCAACAGGCTGTGTTTTTGACATAATGCTATTTGGGGAACATTTGGGAGCAGCAGCCATGGACTCAATCACTGTGCAGAGTTAGTGTGGGTTGGAGCAGTGACAGCTTGTTTTTCTTACATAGGCCACCTCCTTTTTCAGCTCATCCAAGTCCCTGTCCTTCTTCCGCTTCCCCCCATTCTCGGCGCCACACTGGAGGAAAAGAGAGACAGATTACCATATACCAGGCCCATAGGCTATCAACCCACACCTCTACAGGAAGTAAGTGGGAAAAGTCACATGCTTGTAGCCACATTGTGCCTACACATTTACATTCATAGCCACGTATTACAACATCAGCGTGAGCACAATGGACTTTGTGTACGCTGGTTCATTTCAATCTCCTGGCACTATTGGCAAATCATTCACTGAATATGGAGGAGAAAATTATTTTTTTTTCTCAATGTGCGAGCTCCTCATTTGCGCGAAAGAGGGTGTGTGTGTGTGTGTCATAAACAGTCGGAAGAATGGCGCATCATGGAAATCATCTGCTGCTGTCAGTCTCCTTAGCAGCACGTGTGCATGTCAGTGAAGGAGGGATCCACGGAGAGAATGAGAGGAGAGTGTGAGCAAGTGACACAGTGAAAAAGTAATCAAGAAGAGCCAAAGAGGGAGCACAGAGCCGATGGAGTGCCTGAAATGTGTCTGGCATAGCAATTTCCCCCCACTGTGTGTGAGGAAGATTACCAGCCTGTCCTCCCATAAAGCTAAATGGAATGGGCCTGACGGAGAGAATAAAAACAAAATTACATAATTACCCAAGTAAACAGCAAGCCCGGAAACAAAACTTACTGAGGAGAAAAGCCATCTTCCTGAGATGTTACTGATTTAAAAAAAGAAGGCACACTCAGAGATATCAAGCCCTGCAGACGCGTTTAAAAATCTCAGTATTTTTCCATGATGCATGTCCAGACCATATGCTAGTACATGAGATATACAATGTCGCAGTCATGTTCATCCATTCAGTTAAGACAAGAAGGGCTTGAGTATAATAAAAAAAACAAACAAACAAAATAAAAACAACAACACAGCGATTACAACTTCAAAAAAGAATTAAGACAGCTTACCCCTTTGCCCATGCTGGATGTCGACAGGTTATAATGTGAAGGACAGCACTCAGGGGCCCCGCCACAGCTGAGACCTCCCGCCCCCACCCCTTGTGGGGATCATGGTGGCTTTTTTTGGGCATGGCACCCCAACACGAAACATCCTGTTCCCTCTCTTCTTGCCACCTCCTGTCAGGGTAACTTGAGCCATATAGCCCCCAACCCCTACTACTCCACTCCTTTCCCAGGGTTTCTGCACCCCCCATACACCAACTACCACCACCAAACACACACATAAAGAGGGGGTTTCTCTGTGTCCCTGCCCCCCTCCTAGCGCACACACACGGTTCCATGGAGAACAACAGCCCATCAATCACTGCTGTCAACACAACAAATAAAACTCATAACATGCAGTATTTGTAGCACACATGACAATGAAGGACTCATTTTGGCCCTCAAGATAAATAATGAAAAGGAAGCTGTTTGGATTCCAAGCACAGGCTGAATCCTCAGGTGCGTTCGGCAAATAAATCCTGTGAGTAATCATTTGTTAACTGATCCTTAAACATTAACAGTCAACATCACTGTGGTGTTTCCCTTCTGCTTGAATTCAAAGTGACACGCAGCGGGTTCACTCCAACATATTTAGACCATAAGGTGGGTCAGCACCACTGCGCCCACACAACAGATGCAGTGTCAGAGAAGGACCAAATGTCTTCTTATTAGTTGCCAGTTACTTTATAGAGTTGATTTTACGGTCGGACTCTTCCTCCAATACTTTGCTTCAAGTCCAGGATGAGCTGCACACTTTGAGGTATGTATGAGCCCCTGTAGTGGGCTTTCAAGGTTCCTGCCATTTTTTTCTCCAACTAAATGTTTTTTTCAGGGGTATGTATTCTTGCTTGTTTGGTTGTCCTTAGAGTTTAGCATATAGCTTTGGAAAAAAAAAAAAACTTTGTAAACTCTGTGTGAATAAAGTTTCTTATTGCTGTTCACAGAGATATCAATACACAAATTTAAATGTTAGCAATATAAGCCAGAAAAGTAATCAGGCAGGTCAATTTAAACCTTAATGGGTCAAGATACATCTTGACCCATATATCTTGATATAGAGTATATCTAACTTTTGATATAATAACACAAACTTAGCTTAGCTTTAAAAAAAATAAACTGGACGCAGAGGCAAACAGCTGGCCAGGCTTTGTCCAGAGTTTTAAAATACATCTTCCAGCACCTAAAAAAGCAAACTAACTGACACTTGTGTCATTTGTTTAATTTGGACAGGTGCAGAAACGTTAAAAAAAAAAAAAGTGTGCGAGACAACTTGTGGTTTTTAGTGGAAGTTATGTGCTGTTGCCCGGCAACCTCATGGTGATGACAAGACTCTGGGAAGTCATTTGTCATGAAACAGCTACACAACGTAACCCACTCTAAAACAACAAATGACTGTTTTGACATTTCCGTTAACATATTAGTGAGCTTTAGAGGTGTTGCTAGGCATACTTTTTACTTCTTTTATTTTTTATTTTTTTTACTTTGAAGACAGCCTTGCTAACTGTTTCCTGCTGCTTCCAGTCTTTATGCTAATCTAAGCTGATCATCTCTTGGTTCCAGCTCCACACAGACATGACTGATATCAATCCTTTCATCTAACTCTCAGCAAGAAAGCAAATGCGTACCTCCCAAAATGTTTCTTTGCTGACACCAGTTGCACACGCAGTAACTTTAAAGGTCCTATGTGTAGGATCTGCACATTTCTGACTTTGGTGACTCCAAGGTGGCATCGAAACAGACACTGGCAGACAGCCAGGATTTCAGGATACTGTACTGTAAAGCCCCTTTGAGGCAAATTTGTGATATTGGGGGCTGGAAATAAAATTGGCTTGACAGCAACGCATGCCATCACCCCCGCAGCCAGCCATTCAAGGTGCTGTAGCGGAGCAGGTCAGCGAGCATCAGTTAAAAGACTGTGGTTGTAATGTGCGTGGAACAGTTTGATTATGAGACAGAGCCTTTCTGAAAAGGTTATGTATGCTCACTGAACCAAGCCTGCAAGTTAAGTCAGAAAAAATTAAGTGTTCCTGAAAATCATACCTTATTTTGTCACCCTGTAAAATGTGAAAAGGTTGTAAACGGTCACAGAGCATTTATTTTCAGTTCATCATCATTACTTTTTGGTAGCTGGGTAACAAAGGGCGTGATGAGGTGAAAACATTTGAGTCCTCACTTGCTGCCATGAAGCAGACATTTCAAAGTTTTAATTCCAAAACCGAATTGCTTTTGTATTTTGAAAGAAAAACACCTGGTTGTCACTGTTCAGCATTTAAAACCTCCAGATTACGTCCTCTACAATGTTCTTATTGTGTATGCAAATGTATTTGGTTACCTAATTCAAATGTTTCAAATGGTGGAGATCTTATTTTGGAAGGATATTCTTCTTTTGAAAAGCTCATGAAAAATATGTCTTGGCAGAGACATTCGTGACACATTTACACAATGCTTGGAAGTGAAAGGAAGAAGACCGTAGACATTTTCAGATGGGTTTACTTTGTCTTCGGGCGACAACAGCTGCGCTTGGGGCTTTAATATTTATTTACGTTCTCTTTACAACATATTATACAGAGTCAAATCAAATGTGGTTAGTGCTCTGGAATTATCTCAAGCATTAAAATAAATGTAAAAAAAATTAAGAAGCTCCAGTCATTTCAAATAAAGGAAGGTTATTGTGCAGCTATGACTAATACAGTTCATAATACATAAAAAAAACAACATTTTTTAAAAGGCATTTTAATGCTGTTTGTCTTATGTCAGGTGTCTGTGTGGCTTTGCTGAAAAAGAAGAAAACATTCTAACTAATCCATTTGACTGGATAGTTTAACAGCGACTAGTGAAACAGATCTCCAGTTATAAAGATGTGGATTTTAGCACCTCCATTCCTGTTATGAATTTTAAAGGAACATTCAAGTCTACACTATCCACCCTGCATATCAAGCACGCAGATCACTATCCATCTTTGGCTCAGGGTTGGGGAAGGAGCACCTTTAAAAGAAAGCTCTGGGGGAAAAGCAGGCTCTATCTGTGGTGATACATATGGATTTTTGGCTTGGCTTAACATGCCAGATAAGTCTCTTCCTCCAAAGCGTTCTCCCACAGCAAGCACCTTCCTCCCCCTTTTTTTTTTCTCCCCAGCCACATCGCTGAATCTGAGGCTAACCGAACCCTTATCCGCCCCTCATCTTCTCTCCGACGCCGCACGACAACCTCGATTTCCCTTCGTCTCGGAACAAAACGTGCATCAGAGAGACAGCCACACAGTACCTTCCATAACACACAAGGTCAGAAACATAATGACATATCCCATCGAATACAATTACATTTCTTCCCTGCCTTGATAAACATGTTCCTACATGTTTGCACATGTAAAAAAATGTCTGAATAAACATTATTTGCTTTACTTAGGGTGACATACAGTTGGGTTTTTTTTGCTTTATATCAAATCTCATTTTTAACACTCTTAACTACACACACATATACATAAAACGCGTCGTATTTGTGACCGGAACAGAGCTAGCTAGATTATAAGTTTCTGTTTGGCGTCTTCAGTGAGAACTAAAGGCGGATTTCTGCCCATTTGTTTCCTTCCTTTGCCAGTAGGGGGCAGAAGGGAGCCTTTTGGCATTCGAACCAGCAGAAATAAGAACGTAAGGGACTGGAGGAAGGAGGGAAGGCTGGCTTGCCTTTGGGGGAGGTGGCAAGTTGAAGGGCAAGCGTTCGTTGATCATTGGGCGAGTCCAAGGGAGAGGAGAGAAGTCTGAGTTTTAAAGAGAGAAGAAGGACGAGGAGGAGGAAGTACAGAGGAGAGAGAGGGAAGAGGAGCAGAGCATTGAGCTGTAGGCCTGGCATTCAGATAAGGAGAGGCTTAAAGAGTGGAGTGGATTGTGTATAGGCCTTTTCTGTGGGGGAATAATGCAGTGCGGAGTCACTAGCCGACAGGAAGAGGAAGAGATAAAGGAAGCCAAAGACGTAAGGACAGAGGGAACGAAACAAGGGATCGGAGGGAGGAGATGAATCCCAAGATGGGAGCAGAGATGAAGAGGGAAAAACAGAGGAGTGAAGACAGCAGAGGAGGCAGGGAGAGAGGGAGGGATGAAGATGCAGAGAGAGATATCCCGTTACCAGCACGTGTTAAAATAATTAGCCCTGGGGTTGGCTAAGGAGAAACGTGCAGGCGGATTAACTGGACCTAAAATAGCTGAGAGCACGGAAGCTGCACCTCTTCCTGGTAAGCCCTTTTGTCAGCCTCCTGAGTGCGTCCGCCAGCCCTCGGGGGCCGTGACGTCATTGCAGGTCGTCAGTCGCCGGCCGTCAAGTCAACAGCAGACAGCCTCACGCGCTCAGGCAACAAGCAGCGCAGCAGGCACCCACCCCGCTCGGCTCTTTCTCCCCCCTCCTCTGTTGGCTGAAAAATGTGCAGCTGTTACAGTAAGCCCGCATGCTCTTATAGCGCCAGAAATAGCCCCCTTTAGCCAGGGCTGGGACAAGGCGACAACCTCCATTAGCTCAAATGTGAGAGGATTGAATCACCCCTAGCTCGAGGGCTTGAACCTCTATCTACGCCGGCTGAGAGCAGGAATCATATTTCTCTCCCACTATCGCTCTCCTCTCCTTCTCCGTCTCCCTTTTTCTCTATCTGAAGTCCAGAATGCACTCACAGCTCCGCTCGGTGTGTGTGATTGAGTCGTAAACATTAAGGGGGGAAGATTCAGGGGGCTCTAAAGACAGAGGGATGTCTTTCGGGTTCCTCTTAAGGATGTTATGTGTATAGTTAGGCCTTAAACAGTTTTACAGTTTGCCCAATGAGTGCATATAGGGTCTCCGATGATACGTTGTAAAAGTTATTTGACACCGTTGCCAATGATATAGTAGGACTATTCTTACAGCCAGTGCTGTCTTGAAAGAGTAGAGATAATGGGAAATAATGGGGGTTGCATCAGGCTGGGCAGAAAAGGAGGGAGCAGACTAGAGGAGTGGAGGCAGTCATGGAGAAGTCAGACCTTTATCTATAGGAGAAAGAAAAGGAAGAAAATAGGGAGGGGAAGTGAGAGAAGAA